GAATATTATTGGAGGTGCTTACGTTTCGTGGATGGAAGTCAACTTTATAACGTCACTACCGGTGTGTTAGTTTTGTTAATTAAAGGGTCATTATGGGAGATTAGAATTAGATAAAGAGTTGATAGTTCTCGTTATAATAGTTAAAAAATATATAACGTAAATTTCAGTCAAATTACTCCACTCTGAACCGGGATATTAGCTTTTAAATTATGGGCTAGCTTTGATCATCATTACTAAAGTCTCGATTATCCACTTTTACGTTTAATCATCCTTCACAAAATGTATTCCAATCCGCTAAATATCGCAGGCTAGTGATGACATCGGGAATTGATTATGGTCTGGATAAGTTAATTAATGTCTAATTTATAATTTAGATAACACCTCAGGCCTAAAGAAAGACCTGCAATAGGCAGATTTAGCTATTGCATAATTTATGTTTAATTAAAGGCAAAACTATTTATATTTTGGGTTTAAACTGTTATTAGATATAATAAATCAAATAAACAATGTCTGCAACAGTTGTTTTCAGTCTGTCCTCTTTTTCAGTTTGTTTCCGACCATGCCACGACATAACTTAAGTAAAATAGCCCCTCTCGTCAAATCGTTATGTGAGAAACATAGTCTGAGTTATCAAGTGAAACCATTGTTTCAATCCTTCACAGATATAAACAAGTAAGTAAAGTACATGGACATCCAAGAGTTCATTTCTCACAAGTCATGTACAATATTTCTCGATGCTTTTTATGAGGGGCAGTGGTTGAGGATCTATGACACGCCGCGTGGTTTAAGCTGACTCGGGATGGATTTTGAGAGGCAGAATCTGTTCAGAATTGGCGCTCTGGGGCCTGTTTCACGAAATTTTAACTAAGATAAAATCCAAATTTTAGTAATTTGATTGGATAATATTAGATTGATTTTAGTGCTTAGCCAATCAAAATTATCTACTAAAATTGGATTTTATCTTTAGTTAAAATTTCGAGAAACAGGGCCCAGGCATGTAATTATTAGGCTCAGCCACTAGAATTACACCAGCATTGCACGTCATGCACTGGCGTCCGCTTATACGGCAATGTTCACTTTATCCCTGGCCAGTTGTCATTCTTGATTTTACCAACTTTGGCTGTTATTCGAATAGATAGAACCAGTATTAAGTTACATAAAAAAAAAAGAGCGCGGAATGGACAGATTTTGTTACATATATTTTAATCCGAATGACTGGGATTTGTATACAAGTAATTTTACACCAATCCTTTTTTCAGGTCACTGAAGAGATCTGGAAATATATGGAAGAAGGCTTACAGTCGATTTCATAGTGTGAAAACAGTTGATGGTGTCAATAATAATAAAAGCTATTAAAACTACCATTTAATGCCGAACTATGCCAGTAACGAGAATGAGATTTTAGAGACCATCTCTAACCAAGGGATATGACACACAAACTTCAAGTAGCCCACCTTATGCACTTATAGAGGTGTATATATTTACGGTCCTTGTTTAATCAGGTCATAAAGAACATCGGTGACCAAAAGTCAGTCTATATCATAAATAGCCTTCAATCGGACCGGACATTGTGGTCTGATGCCAGCCTTAAACGATTAACCAATGGGTCCAATTTGTTCCTTTATTGTGCGAAATGTTTTTCTAAACATGTAAATATCTAGTTAAACCGTATTACATTTGAGTGAACAATGTGCCTGTATATACTGATATTTTATTACGATTAAAAATTATTATATAATTTATTTTACCTTTATTCTTGATAAGCAATCACTTACTTCACATATTATTGGTTGGACTTATTTGATGGTCGGGATGGAGCTGTTGTAATGATATTAAAGATGCAGTCCTATAACAGTATTTATAGGGTGAGGGTAGTTATTTCCAATACACCTGGTGCAATTTTGGTATATATGGAAAGTAGAGACATCCAATCTTACTAGATGAATACTGGATAATTCTCTGAAAAACACCCGTGGGGCGCACACAAGACGAACATATGAGAGTATGCCTAAATAGGCAGCCTGTCTCCTCGGGTGGCACAATGAGCGCTTATGTGATGATCTAATAGGCGCCGGTCTCCTCGGGTAACATAAGGGGCGCGCTTATGTGTTAATCTAATAGCTAACGGTTGTCAGAACATTGAGAGAATAAAACGTCCAGTAGACGCCCCGATTAAATGGTGGGAAAATACTTTGACAGAGTAGAATCCAGGAATTTACTTGGGCTTCGATGTGTATGGTAAATGGACAGCGGCTAACGACATATACAATCTAAAACTGGATTCTTCCTAATTCAAGTGACGTGATAAATGTATCACCAAATCACAGTTTATTCGAGGGAAGGTATCTTTTAATACGGCTACATTTAATGTGGGTCTGTCAAATCCCGTGAACACTAAGTTCAAATTATTGGTAGTTTTTGTTGGGTTAATGGGCTAAAACTTGAAAATATCTATATAGGATGCGTTTTGTTTATATTTAATTCATATAAGGGAGATAATAAAATAAATCGTCCCAAACTTTACAACCAGTTCGATAACATGCCCGTTTCTCTTCAAATTTCATCAATATCAACCCCGATTGACTGACGGGTCTAATAAAAAAAGACAATAATAGACCAACGATGCACATTAAACTTGTAATAAAGGAAATAATGATAGATGTATATCAACCAAACAAAGCCTATCTTATGTATGATGTACGTGAAAGCCATTTGAGGAAAAAAAAACAAAAACAAATGGCGGATTTTAAAACCCCACCAGTTTACGCAGTTATTGTATTTATGATAATAAAAAAGATTGTCTTTGTCGATTCCTACTAAAGCAAGAAGACTACTCTATTAAGTCGATAACCCTTACTTACCCCGGTTAAGTTAGTTGTTAGTTGTGTTTTACGTCCGCTTCCACCGAGGTGATATCGCAGACTTAATTCATTGTAACTGTTTTATAATAGCAGATGTCTTAGACACCCATGGCCATTATCTGCGACTCATTAACAAGTTAAGCATACTATAATTGCAAAAGGTTAGAAAAGATACAGATAATACATACAGGCGAAGATAAAACAACATTACACAGGTTTCCAAATATTTTTATTTTATCCAAATATCTAATTTTTTTTTCACAACAATTTTTGTATGCTAAGCCAACAAAACAAATAAGTATTCTAAATTAAGTCAAAGATCAATAACAAATTTTTACCTATTATGTGGAGCAAAAGGTAATATAATGCAACTTTTTTGTGCATCACATTTCCTTTTATAAGCACTATTCAACCAAATAGTACATAAATACTTAATAAAGGGAAGTATTAAATACGCTTAAGATATTAGCCATTAATTATCTAGCACCTATGATTCTCCTGGTGAAATATTTTAATTCCCTAATGTCTCTAGTTAGGAGCTGCAATCAGTGTTGGGTGAAGAAAAGTCTTAAATGACGACCAATTTTCAAAATTTTGGCTCCCTGGTTATCTACAGCACCCATTTTATTTTCAGAATTCAAAAACGAATAAAGTCAAAACTAAAGTGTTAATCTAATTAAATTTGGTGTATGAATTTGCTTTACAGATGAAAATCTATCTACATAAAAATGCGTGATCCTAAACTAGCCATCACTAGCCATCGTTGTGATATAACAGATTTCTTCCAACAGTTATATATATGCAGCTACTTAACAGAAATTGGAATTTTATCGTATTTTCATCCGTAATTGATATAACACCTCAGATCACCTCAATTAAAGGGGTTGCTTTTTTTAGAAGCTGTTATAAGTTGGGACCCAATAATAGCTAGATAAACAGATATACATAAAGACAATAAACAGACAGTAAATTATAATGTTCTAGACATATAACCATCTGCAATGCTATATAACTTGATTGCATAACACATCGTAAATAAATAAATAGGAATAAGTCACCGGTTTGTTCTGGACACATAAAATGTATTACAAACACAAAAGAAGTTTCAGACTGCCCAAACAAATTCAAAACAAGTTTAGGACTATCCAAACAAATGTTGGACTTTCCAAACAAATTAGGACTGTCCAAACAAATGTTGGACTGTCCAAACAAATGTTGGACTGTCCAAACAAATGTTGGACTGTCCAAACAAATTAGGACTGTCCAAACAAATTAGGACTGTCTAAACAAATTCAAAACAAGTTTAGAACCGTCCAAACAAATTCAAAACAAGTTTAGGACCGCCCAAACAAATACAATGGGGTACATTAAATATTGACAATATTAATTATTTTGATTATATTTCCAAATAAACATCCTTTATATAAGTGGAGGTAAGATCAACCTAATTCAATGCTTTATTCTGTAATACATCCAACAAGTTTGGCTCCTTAAGTTAAGAGATCCTGCTCAGAGTGGGCCTTTAAACACCATTACTTGTACATTAAAGGCGAATAAGCAATTTCTCTAGCTGGAAAAAATATATCTACCAATACACTGATGACACATAGCTTTTAAAATTCATTATGGGTAGTACACATTATAACCTACAGTAAGTGATCAGTGAAAGCTCATACAAAATGAATTACTCTTAGTAGGCTAGTGTTTGAATGCTTAAGATACGCTAGTCTAGGGTTACAGAAATTGAATAACATATATATATATATTTACTATTTGAAAGTGATAATGCTTCTTTAAATCTACCATATTCAAATTAATGATCTTCAGATGAACTGTAGTAAAACATGATTATTAAATTTGACCTTACAATTATATAACTGCAGTAAAACATGACCATAACTATTATAGTATAAACTGTTTAACTGTATATATATATAGCAGTTACAGTATATAACTATTCCAGTATAAATTATATACTGTTATCCAGTATAAATTATATAACTGTTCCAATATGAATCATATAACTGTTCCAGTATATATCAGATAAATGTTCCAGTATGAATCATACCTGTTACCCAGTATAAATTATATAATTATTACAGTATAAATATAGAATGAAGAGACAGATTTATTGTTTAATATTTTATATTATAAAGAAATACTGTACAGAGAGAAAGAGATGATATATCTCAGGTTTATAGTATATAAATTGAGCTTAAAATTACACAATCATGGTCAACAGCATGGGGCCCTTATAGATTTATTAAATTCAGTCAATCTTCTCATACTAGCAGTTGATAATCGACTTTATCCTAAAGCAAAGATTAAATATAGTAGTTTTTATAAAAAGTTCACACATTCATGTGACGGATGGTTTAGCATTACTAACATCTTTTTCATTCTAAAGAAAATTAATATTTTGATTATAAAACATAAAATTTAATAGCTTAATTTTATCTGAGATAAAGGCATCACTTTGATCGGACAACATCATCTGATTGGTTTACCTTGTTTTTATAAGCTACACTGATTGACAGTTGGGAATAGGTTATAATGATTGTATAAAGCTTTGAGCTATGCACACAAATCATTTGACACTAATGCTTGAGAGATGTTTTAACGAAGTTCGGTATGGTAAGACTCAGTTAAGACTAGAAACATCATCGACTATTACTAAAAATATGTGATATAATGATCAAAAGTTTGGAAAAAAACCCCTATAGAATCAAATAAATTCATCAGGTATGACCGTAAATATACATAACATATACAAAAGTCACCTTCATCAAAAACATAAATGAGAAAAACACAGAAACAAACTTCACAGAATGAATTATTAGCGAAATGTAAAAATAACTACCTCTTTGATTTGGGTCTAAAATCATTCTTAATTTTGTGTGAATTTATGTTAATTTTTGTGCAACGACAGTAGTGTTACGAAGACCCATCACTAACTGAATTAATATACCAGATCAACCAAATTCAAGAATTTATTTTGGCTTAAATCAAAGAGATTTAACTTCTCTAAAACAATAAATAATAAGCTTGTATCTTCTATTTGCTATAATTTGTTTGTGCAAAAAAAAAAGCAGTTAGTGGTGACCCGCTCCATCATTAATATTACATATTAATTAAGAAATGTGAAAAAGGTTAAATTGATCTAAAGTTTGGCAATGCAATCACCTCTATCTTGGACACACAACCAAGTCTATCTGATGGTAAGTAAGCTTATAAAATAGCACTTTATAATATATTAACATTGACAACACTAACAATGAGTTAAGTAAAATAACATCTGTCTCTCCATATCACAGGTCCTTCATTCAGTAAATCATTATCTTGATTTGATTTGTCTTGACAATAGGTTTTATATTATCCATCGATGTACACAAACAATAGGTTTTATATCATCAACCGATGTACGCCAACAATAGGTTTTATATCATCCAGTGATGTACGCAAACAAAAAATAGTACATCCACACCAATTAAAGAGAGAAATTGACATTAATTTTAATCTTCAGGTGATGCTGAACAACTAGCGTGTTCTTTCAAGTGTTCTTTCAACTCTATCGTTTAGTTTCAAAGATTTGCTTGACCTAATTTTAAATGCCTGGCCAATAAACAAAATTATATGGTAAAAGATAAGTGATAAAGCCTACAAGCTGCCAAGTATAATGTCCATATATAATTCATATTTTATGTGAATATTATTGGCTAATATAATGTCCACGTATAATTTATGCGAATATTAGGGACAACAAGCAGATATTATTGGCTAATATATGGCAAAGGACAAAAAGCAATTTTTAAATAATTAATACTATGTTTGGCACTCTGAATATAGCATTTGACCAAATAAGTGTGTGTAATCCCTCTATGTCTAATTAAACAACTGTCACGTTTCAAAATATTTCATTCAATTAATTCAAATTGTAACAGCTGAAATAGAATTTGCACAAATCTTTTATAAGTAGAGAATGTTTTATGTTTAAATGGATGTATGCTTTTCAGATTTATCAAACTAAGTGTCCATTATATATATATATATATGTACATTTATTCAGTCAAATATGGCAAGCCCTATTTGCAATGATTTCAGGGTCTGTATTCATGAAACTGTTTTATAATGCAGCTTTTTCATTGGTTGAAGACTATACAATTTATAGCTCTTAGCCAATGGAAAGGCTGCTTTCTTACTTCCTTCCACAACCTCTCCTACCCATTTCTATAAGATTTGCATAAAAATCAAATCAAAATATTGACATGAAACACAAATTGCCCTTCAATTAATTAACATGAGCAAATGAAATATAAAACTAAACACATAAAAAAAACCCTGGTGGAATACGTTCATTACCACTGGTTCGTTACAATGCATTTTCTTATTGAATAAAATTTTGGTCTACTGAATCTACAATCTGATTAAAATACAAATCTATATTTCGTTTCGTTTTGATTAACCAATCAGCGTTGATGTTTCTAGTGGCATACCCACAGTTCTGTGTAGCGTAAGTCAAGAACTCGCCGCAACAGATACTAGTGTAGTAAAGACAAGTAATAACACGAAATTTTTGAACTATAAAAAACCGAAAAAGGATCTGTGTTTTAATCAGATTAATTAAGCTATTAATATAATTGTGCCATACAACCATTCTATAAATTCTTTAAAGGCCTAGAAATATATTGTCTGCTATAGCTATTATCAAATATATTCTAAAACCATTTCATATCTTTAAATATATGGACAACTATTCAAGCTAATAAATCTATGTTAAGTAGTGATAATTAATTCAGTTTGAATATATTTTATACTGGTACAGAAAAAACCCCTGGGAAATAGGAGTTTTTGCTGGGAACAAATGTCTCTAGAAACTACAGTATAGACTGTAAAACCCAGCACATATTAATATGTTATCAATATATTTCTATGTTGTGGTCAAATGTATAGCCCATAAATCCATATGATCAGTTAGAATTCAGAGTTTATACTGTAGTCCAACCTGTCCTGAGGTCCAAGTGTTTTCATTTTTAGAAATATGTCTAGTGTTAAAATTGTTTTTTTTTTTAAATATATAAGTTGTCAGCTCTACTCTGTAGACTATTTTCATGGGTAAACAGTGAAAGGTGATACAGAAATGTTATAATAATAATAATAATTGGAGGGTTTGGTTGTCTAGGAAACGTGATACTGATTGTAAGTGGAGTACCACAGTTCACCTGAATGTTTCAAAGAACTGAAATATAAAAACAAAAAAAAACAAATTAAATAATGTCTTAAAGACAGACGCAAAATTTTTTTAGAGATCCTCACCATTTGGTAAAATATTACATGTTAACTTCAGGGGAGTCAAATTAGCGTAGATGTAAAGCAATATTTAATCAATAAATAAAATGGAATTTAATGACCTACTTTCTGCACCAACCGGCATAATGAAAATAGGTTGGGTTTTTTTACATGCTTTTTTTTGATAAAATAAAAATAATTCATGGATTTTTTTTTTCACAAAAAAGGGATAGATATTATTGAATACAAAACAAAAGCAGGCAGAACTATTAATTTGGGTACAAAAATGACAATTTAATTAGAATTTATATCAGAGATATAGTGGGTTTTGATGACAGCCAAATTTTCCTATGTATTGATGTTTGCTGCTGATAAATCTATGTGTAAAATTCTACTAACAAACACCGATCTTGTATTAAGAGGTTACTCCTATAAAGCCGTCAGTTATGAAAATTCACTTGATTGGCTGCTGAATACAGATTCTACTGTATATCAATTTCAGAGGGTTTCGACAGCAGCCAATTTTTCCCGTGTATTGATGTTTGATACAGATACGGTGTTCGATCCCTGTATTGGCGGAGAAAGTTCATCAAAATTTTCCGGCGTGGTTCCACCTATTCAGTGATACAGGACGGAGGGGCTGACAAGGACAGCTGTCTAGTCGTTCGGATGGGACGAAAAACCGAGGTCCCGTGTAGTTTAAATTCGATATAAGAGTAAGCAGTAGTGCCGCTGTCCGGGCAAAATTTCTCTCATAGCACACTGTATGGCATATGCCCCTCTTCATTAGCCCAGTTCGGAGCAGAACAGTAGGGCGTTAAACCCCATTTCATTTCATGCATTGCTACGGATAAATATATGCATGATCTTGTATTAAGAGGTCACTCCCATTAAGCCATCAGTTATAAAAATCCCCTTGATTCTATTGTATATCAACTTCAGCAGCCGCTAACCACAATATCAAACAATACATCTTCATAATCCAGAACCTGATGAGTCAATACATTACGCAACAAATGTAGCTTGAGACAAGTGAATGCCGATGTATGAAAAATCCTGGCTCATGTATCATTTAATATCGAGTTCTCTTTTTACTCCTCTTCCAGGAAAAGAAGACCATTTTTCAAGCTACAAGCTCTAACACTTTTTGAATTTGTTTAACAAAACAAAAGCAGAAATATAATTAGAATAAGTAATACTTACGAAACAATATCTATAAAGGACTGTAGAAGTGGTTTCACCTGATAACTTAGATTATGTTTCTCGCATAAAGACTTGACGAGAGGGGCTATTTTATGTAAGTTATGGCGTGGCATGGTTGGAAACAAACTGAAATAAAAGAAAACATTCCAAAAATTTCAAGTGGTCTTTTGGCAATCACTATCTAATCTTGGAAAGAACAATGTTAATAGATAATTTCCTAACTATATCTGTTGAGCTGACAATGCTTAACTGTTTAGCACTTAGACCAGCTGACACCACATGTACCTATTGCTCCTTAGACTGCAACAAAACGACCAATTCACATGAATAGTCATGGCACTTCAGAGGAAACTGGACGACCAGGAGAAAACGCACGGGGCTGGACAGGCGAACCTACTCCTTAACATGTACAACCGGGGAATTGAAAACACGCCAGTTGACTCAATGATACAATGCACACATGCTAAACATTCGTCCATAATCTCCCCCCCCCCACCCCTCAAAAAAATATTGATAGAAGATTATCATTTGTTCAGGACAAGTTACTTTCTTAATATATATAGTTTTATTACATCTTTTCTCGGTACTTTGATTCTATCGTGGTAGGAGATTACAGCATGCATCTGAATGAATGGCGAATACAAGAAAATTTACTGATGTTCAATCTGAACAAATGGTGAATACAAGTAAACTTACTGATGTTCAGTTTGAACAAATGGTGAATACAAGTAAACTTTCTGATGTTCTATCTGAACACATGGTGAATACAAGTAATCTTACTTATGTTTAGTTTGAACAAATGGTGAATACAAGTAAACCTTCTGATGTTCAATCTGAACACATGGTGAATACAAGTAAACTTACTGATGTTCAATCTGAACAAATGGTGAATACAAGTAAACTTACTGATGTTCAATCTGAAAGTTGAGATGGCCTGTGAACCAATCATTAAAGAAAGATTTTTCAATGTCACATGTAGCATGCAACTGTAATGGCAGCCATTCTTCTGCATGATCTTCATCTATCTCCATTGGTATATGGTTTGACTGACTGACCCACGTAAACCAATGACTTTCTAATACTCTGTAAAATATATTCACTTTTATTAAACATATATTATGCAAAAGCTAGATCTGCCTATTGCAGATAATTAACTTCTCCAGACCAAAATCAACTCTCGATGCCATCAACAGCCTGCGATATTTAGCAGATTGGAATACATTTTTTGAAAAATAATTAAATCAATAAATGGATAATAAAGACTTTAGTAATGATGATCAAGGTTAGCCTAAAATTCAAAAGTTAATATCTCAGAGTGGAGCAATTTGACTATTATATTTTTTTAACTATTATAGCGAGTACAGTCTACTCTTTATCTAATCTCCCATAATGCCCCTTTATTAGAATATCTTGAAAAACCGATTGGTTAATCGAATGACCAAAGTCACAGGGTCAAAAGCCGGTCGTATGACCCTAACACGACCTCCCACTACAACTGGTGTAGTGAAGTCCATCAAAAGTATAAAAGAAACTAAACTAAATACAGATTTGAATTTCATTCAGAACCTGTTTCTTAGTTAACTGCTAGGGATGTGTCAAAATGATTGTTGCCAAGTCTTTGTTAAAGTTCTATATATGGTTGTGCTGACACACATATTCAAATATTTTTCAAGGATATTCAAACTGACGTTTTAGTACTTTTTACTATGTGTTTTTCGCTATAATCCCATCATTGGCCTTTTTATAATCCATCTGCGGAGATTTTCTAGCGTTGGTATTTTTTATTTTGTTTTCTTAATTAAATGTTAAGTCTTTTTATTTTGTGTTCTTGTCTTAATAGTGGGGTGGTATTATTACTGAGTGAGCAAGTTTGCAGCAATCTGAAGAAATACAGACACAGCACTATGTACCACTTTGCCTGGATTAAACCAGGTAAAGTTGATATTTTCCAAAAAAATTCTTATGATGGACAAAGACTTTAAATATTCCTGAGAACAACTTACCTGATAAAGAAATAGAAGAAGATGGTGTTACCAATTCCAAGTAGTGGAACATACAGGTAAAAAAACTTGATGAAAAAGGCTATTAATACACCTATATCCTACAAAAAATACAAAATTACATCACAGACCCATAGAAACTTTTCTTCAGAAATTAAATAAAGTTTAACGTCTTACATTTCTGCACCAACTCGGCTAATGAAGACAGGCATAGACAGTGTGCTTAGAGGAAAATGTAGCCCAGATAGCGGCACTACCGCCTGCTCTTATATAAATCCATCTGTCAGGGGTCTTTTACGTGCTTGCCAATGTGTACACAGGACATTGTTTTTTTTTTGTGTACTATTCGAATGACTCTATATTAGCCTTTGCCAGACGCTGTGCCGTTGACCATGCAAGAAAATAGCAATGAACGTTTTCAGCCAACAAAGGCACCACTAGGATTGTTAGCCAACCCTTACTCTATGAGTCACCACGGCTCCCTGTCAATATAGGCCGGTTACTTATATATACAATTATTAAAAGGAGCTATAAGCTCCTAATATTTAAGACAGAATTAACATTTTACAATCAGGTGCCATTTTGTAATGAACAAATAAAAACATATCCTACAATACAATATGGAAGGAATAAGTAAAGACTCATTCACAAACGACAAAATAATAATTCAAAAATGTGTAGAATGCCCTAAGAAGGTGTAAACGACTGCTGTTCAATTTGAACTGTTCACATATTTAGCCAAACATGATTATAAATTACAATATTTCTTTCAAAAATAGAATATAAATCATTTTACATACATTCATATTACATTAATACACGTATAAGCTTTTAGAACCATTTTCGTCTATTTCAAGTTTCCGAAAATTCAAGCCATATGCCCTTCAAGTGAGACTTTAATACTTACCACCCATTCTCTACGTGTTATAACGTGACGTATCAACATAAACTGGAAATAAACTGGAAACAAAAGTGGAGGTCCAACTGAAAAAGAAAAAGCCCCCAAATTTGTCACAATTTTAAAGTCTATTTGAGTCATTTGCTGTCTTTCAAATCCCCATCCCTCTTTATGCTATAAATATTGGGTTTTTGTGCCGCTTAGTGATGTTGTTCCTTGTTCAAAATCAACAGCTATACGCCTCAACCACAGCACTGACAGGTCTACTCACAGCAGTGGTATGTTCACCTATGGGAAAGCACTTCAGCGTTGTTTCATGTTTGATTACATTATAGATGGTTTAATATATATATATATATATATATATATATATATATATATATATATATATATATATATATATATATATATATATATATATATATAGCTGATGTTTAATAAAAAAGTTGAATATGTTTTAATACATTAATGACGATATAATATAGCTGGCATTTAATTAAAAGTTGGATATGTTTTAATACGTTATGGGTGGTTTAATATAGCTGGTGTTTAAAAGCTAAATGTGGAGCAAAAGTAATCTTTGCATTATAAATGTAATTTATTGCTCAAAGTTATCTTTTTAATAAAATAAAAACTTACCGATAAAGAAATATCTGTGTTGCCAGTTAAACGGCATGCTAGACTTGTTAGATTTGGCCATCTATAATAGATAATTCAAGGTAATAAATCAGCTTATCATACAATTTTAATTATACAGGGTAATTTTGACAAGATAAAGCCAGAAAAAGGGCTTTTCCTGCTGTCTTAACAGGTCAAAGATGCATTATGTAAGATATAGATAAAAAGAGATGACTGTTCTTTCTATAGTAGTTCAAAAATAGATAATGAAAATTTCAAGTTCCACTGCTGCTATAATAAACAAAGTTTTGCAATATGGGCTTGTCAATTGAATAAATATCTTTTTAATAATTTATATAAGTTAATATAACATTTTGAAGCCCAAAAGATCTGCAATAATGTAATGTTTAAATAATGTTTTGCATAGAGTTTTTTTTAACATATCAAAATCTTATCTATGACCAGTTATTTATTTATTATTTCTCATGGCATAACATGTAAATAAAATTTCTTAGAGAGAGAGAGAGAAAGAGAGAGAGAGAAATGGGGTTTAACGTCCACTTGACACAAACAAGGTCATTTCGAGAATAACATATGGTTCAAATTTAGCAGTGAGAGGAAACCAGAGAAAACCCACGAGATTGAACAGGCCCTCTACTTATCACATACAACCAGGGAATCAAAAATTTCTTTAGGAACAGGGTCCCTGATACAGTTACCTAGAGATAGTGACTTACAATTGCTATTTGATACTGGTAAATGCTCATTACCATTGCTTTGGGAATAGGGACAATGTGTCTAAAGGCAGGTCAGGAGTATAAATAATATCTATACCTGTACTGGCATTTTATCACCCACTACAAACAGTTTTTCAACACGTACATCAGGATCTTTGTCCATCTAAAATATAAAAACATTTACAGAATAAGATAATCAAGTTACTTTACTATTAAGATCATATTTATTCAAGACTGGCGTACATCTTTACATATCTATATTAAAAGGCATATATTCAGATGTCTTGTTGTCGTACTAGAAATTTGTATATTTGTAGTCTTGTTGAGAAATTATATGATATAACTGGATAGATCGATTACAAGCGATAAGTGATTGGGGCAGCAATAATCAAGACTATATATCCATATAAGAAAATGAAATGAAATGGGGTTTAACGTCCTACTCCGACAGGGATAATGAAGACGGGCATACACCATACAGTGTGCACTACAGCCTACCCTTATATCGAATTCCAACTGCCAAGGTATCTTCTACGTGAACGCCAATGTATACACAGGACATGTATACACAGCTGTCAGGCCCTCTCTCCTGCACCACAGACAAGGGGAAACCACGAGGAAAATCCTGATGGACTTCCTCGGCCAATGCAGGGATCGATATCTATATAAGAATACTTACCACATTAGGTTTAGCGTGATGCTGATAATGCATATGGTTCCACCATTTTGCTGAGGCACCCTATGTTAAAATAAACTTGAATCACATAATGAAATAAAAACAAAAATGCTACAAACTAAAATTCATTTCTCAGACGTTTCATGCAAAAACAACCAAATAAAACCATAACTAAACCCATGAAATTTAATGGCAACCTTCCTAGTATTCCTGTGAAATTAGTGCACTATTCAATGTCTAAGCCATGCCATTTTGGAGCTCTAAATTGATTCCAAAATGGCATGGCCAAACAAAAGCAATTAATTTAAAAACACTTCATTCAATATTAATTAGATTATATATTTGTAAGTAATATGTTGGTTTTAATAATTTCTACTATGCTAAACATATCTTACTACATTAGTACATTCATTACACAGAAGAGTAAAAAGAACAGAAAATATTACGAGTAGATCAATACTTGATTAGTTTGTAAAAGAAAAACAAAAAAAAACACTAATATTTTAAAAAAGAATTTTAAATATCAGGAATATCAAAATTCAATGAAGATAAAAAAAAATGTACATTAAATAGAGAAAAAATAAAAAAATTGGTTTTTAATTTGTAGACAAGTAAAATAACATCTACAATTATTATTAAAAAATAATAAAAGAAATAACTTTGGACTAGAAACATAATAATTGGTAATCACTTCTAGAAAAAAATAATTGAGGATCACTCTGGTTAGAAAATAACATCTTGGTAAAATAAGGTACACAATCACTTTATCCCAAGTATGTCTCCCCAAGGGAGCCACAGTGGCTCAGCAAGAAACACATTGGCACACTAAAATGGAGTTTCCGCATTTTCTGATCCCCGAGTTGGCCGATAAAGTTCATCAGGACTTTTGGACATAATACTCAATTGTCTGTGGTGCATGATAATGTATAGTCGTTTGGATGGAATGAAAATCCGTGTTAGAGTAGTGACTTGTGTGTTGGACGTTTTTCACAGAAATCAAAAGCCGAAGGGATAAAACTGTACCATTTGATTTTACCAAGATGGTATAAGGTAAGAGTGGAAACACACTGGAAAAATAAACATTTTGTTGTTTTCTGATAGAAAACATTTCATTTATTATTATTTTCAATTATCAAATCTGTAATTTAGTCGAACAGATTTTGTCAAATTCACAACAGAAGCACCATGTGTTTAATAATAATTATTTGTGTCTTTTTGTGCAAATCAATTTTCCTCTAAAAGCAAAGAATTTTGGCAATTATCTTCTCTAAGAGAAGTTATCTAATATGTCAAGATATTTGGGGCTATCTCTATATTGTCATCAATACTACCTGATCTTTTAAAATGGTGTCCGAATGCTTTAAATTTTGATGTTTTTATCAAATCCCGGGTAGTCAGGACTCGATATATTTCTAAATCTCAAGACATGCTAAATCTCTGAAATTTGTTTTATATTAAAATTGATCGTTAGTGTAAAATGTTTTATTCTAGAAGCTGTCATTGTTCTATATCTATTGTTAGAATATAGAAATTAAGTGGACTACATCCTTTAACATCCAAAATACTATAAAAGCACATGCACATATATTGTTGGCATGACATATATAGGTATCTGTACTTGAGCTCAAACGATCATTTTGGAATCCATCTTTTGTAGCTGAATTTTATTATAACTTCAAATATGCATTCATACATAAGTCTACTAAAATTTTCCTTTAGAATACTTGGTGGAATTGATGTGTAAATAAAGTTGAAAGAGGAAAAAGGGTAAAATATTAGTTGCATTAACTGTGTAAACAGGTTAGATGTGTAACTGGTTTGTTATCAGAAAAGCATGTTATGGTGCAGTAATACTAGAAAGTTACAATTCCAATATTCAATTCTATTACCACGACAAAAACACAGAAAGTCCCCAGATTCGTTCTTAGCGTGGTTATATCATTTTAATTCTACATGTTAATTTATGTACCTATCCAACTATCCTTATTTAGATATCATTGCAATCTCAGTTTTATAACTTCATACCTTGACAAATGTTTTTTAAAAAAAAACAACCCAACTCACATCAGAAATATTCTGATTGACTCAAGAACTAAATTTATGTGCTGATATGGAATTGGAAATGGCCTGATAAGAGTGTATTTCATGGCAATAAATCTGAACATATCGAGATTTATTTGACAACAAACATAATTTTCAATCGGGAATTATTTAAAAGCAAGATGGATGCGATTTCTATGTCTGGCTCCATTTTGAATTTGAAGAATCCAGTCATAAATCCTTATTAAAAATTGACTAATATTCAATCAGTGTCTGATTCTGGATATATTCATTTTCGCTACCATAATAACATTATTAATTTGGCGAACGGGGTTGGGTGGGGGGGGGGATTAGATGTGATATGAATTTGAATAGCCTTCACCAACGAAAATATCATCCCTTTACCAAAAACAAAATTGATTAAATAAAATACTAAACCCGTCATGCAGGGATAGATTCAAATAAGAAAAGTTTAAACCTAACTCCACAGAGACAATGTTAAACCAGAACAGATAGCAACAGAGTAGTTTTACGTAGAGCAAAACAATTTCACTTAAGAGAGAACATACACATGACTGAAAAGACTTTTTGGAAACTAAAATTTTGAAGTAACATGGTATTTTACGCATAATCCAAGCCAATCAAAGACGGAACCACCAGGAGGAATTTGTAACTTTCTGAAAACACACAATGGTACCATGCTTCGACGTTACCTTAATAAATCCTATTGTAAAATGGTGTAACAAATGGTCCAGTGAAGAATTGTGAAAAACGGACAAATGTCCAAAATCATGTTGCAACCATCCCACTTGCCCCTGGAAGAGAGAGACATAACAAATCCAATCAAGTAAAAAAAATCTGCTGGAGTACCACTAGGTCAAATTACCTTAATAAATCCCATAGTAAATTGATGGAGAATATGGTCCAAATAATAATGATTCTTAAAAACTGAGACATGTCCGAAGTCGTGCTGCAACCAGCCTGTCTGTGCCTAGAATAAATCAAGGTCATGGTCATTAAATGGAGAATTCTGGAAACATTAATGACATTGCTCGATCCTCTGCATCTGTTGAAAACAAGATCATAACTATATTAACATGACAGTATTTCAACAAAATACATTACTCTTCATGATTATCAAATGATATTTTTAAAACTCTAATTAATTTTAAATTCTCTTCCTTCAACATGTATAAGTTACCTGTACGATAGTATAACAGGCAACAGAAACCAAGAACGGTAACCATCCAGTCCCAAAATAATACATCGTCAAATACGCCAACACTTCAAACATCAATATGTGAGCCAAATGCAGGGTGTAAAATAAAACATTTGTTTTAAACAGATTCTGAAAAATACAAAACATACACAAAATAAAAGTAGGAAATAAACTGAACTTCTAGTTACACCTTGATTTACTGAAACAATACAGATCTATATATCTTAATTCATTTTTTTTTTCATACTTCCGATGGTCTTTACTACATGAAGATCTGACCAGTTGTAGTGGGAAGTCGCGTCAGGGGTCATACAAACGGCTTTTGACTCCTATGCCGTCAGACATTTGATTAGCATTGATGTTCCTAGTGGGATACACAAAGTTCCGTGAATCGCATGCCAAGAACTTGCTGTAACAGACCGTTTCATTGGCTAATCCATCATATCAACCTGAACGCAGGTTATAAAACAACTCTTCCAGATTCTAGTGCAGTAAAGACAATTGAAACGAAATTTTGAACTATAAAAAACGAAACGAAATAGGAATTGGGTTTTAATCAGATTGGTGAAACATCAAATTTCATTTAAAGAAATAAACAATGAAACAAATGAAATGAAGTGTGATTTAACATATTACCGCTCCGAGAGGCTAATGAAGACGGGCATACACCATATAGTGTGCTATGATGGAAATTTGCCTGGACAGCAGCACTACGGACTACTCTTATATCAAATTATAGCTATCAAAGGTTGTTTTATTATTATACTGCCTAAAAGACTAGGCACTGTGTCACTGTCCCTGCCAAGTGCCCCCCCCCCCCACGACACCTTTCATGCACCACTGACATGGGCAAACCATGATGGAAAATCCTGGAAAAATTTCTTGACCAAAACAGAGATTGAAACCTGGAACCCTTGATTAGTGAACCAGCGCATTACTGACTTGATTGAGTCTCCACGGCTTTTGCTAATGGAACAACAGTACATGCATTTAAAAGGCAGACAGATCCACACATAGACTGAAAGCAGTGATGAAAATATCTGTGGTCGTTTTTACACATGTAATTGGAACCGGCTTTCTGGTGTAATAAAATCTTTTAATGGGATAAAAATTAAAATATCATTTAAATTTGGAAAATGGCTTATAATTCTGATCAGGTCGGCCAGCCAGTACTAATTCAAACAAAAATAACATCATAACAGGTTTAAAAGTTCCATTCTTTAAATGACATCTAGAAATACAGTTAACCATTCATTACAAAACACAACATGTCATTATTAAATAATAGAGAATAATGTCCATTATATACCTTGTCTTGTGTTTTCTTATGAATAGGTTTAAAACTGATATGATGTCACTGACAGGTCAATTATAATTATTAAATTTTAAGTAAAAAAATCCTAATATAGTTATGACAAGTTCAGACTATAAACAATGGAAAACATTATTAGCGTATATTATAATAATTATTAATATTTAAACATGCAAGAGCTAAATCTGCCTATTGCAGGTCTTTCTTCAGGCTTGAAATATTATCAAAATTATTAATTAGACATTAATTAACTTATCCAGCCCATAATTCACTCTCGATATCCCCATTAGCCTGTTATATTTAGTGGATTTTAATATATCTTGTGATGGATAATTTAACATAAAAATGGATAATCGAGACTTTTGTTATCGTACCAAAGTTAGTAATGACGATCATGGCTAGCCTAAAATCAAATCGCTAATATCTTGGTTCAGAGTGAAGCAATTTGACAGAAATTTTCAGCATATTCTGTTTTCATTATCTATGCTTCAAATATTATAGTGAGAACTGTCAGCTTGTTATCTAATCTTATCTAATGTCCCTTTAATTCAATTCATAGTGCACCTAACAATCAACTACATTTACACTTAAACTTAGCTCAGCTAGACGGGGAGTTCAAAAGATTAGAAATTTTAATAAAGGGTTCAAGTTTATATCGATGTACATTCTAAATACTGGTAATATATACATGCATATTTACTTTCTGCTATATCAGGTGTAATGACTTGAATGAAAAATCAAGATCCTATATATACACAATGGCGTGCACATAACAAATTCAGTTGGAATTCAATGCAGAGACACTGCCGTCCTTGCAAAAATTACATCATACTACACAGTCAGTACTCTATGGTTTACAATCATTAGCCAAGTTGATGCCTCCAGAGAGAGAGAGAGAGAGAGAGAGAGAGAGAGAGAGAGGGGGAGGTAAATTCCACTTAACACAAACTAGGTCATTTTGGGACTAACATATGGTTCAATTTTATTTCAATAATTCGCTTGCTCGTACATGTAGGGGTCTTTAGCAGTGGGAGGAAACTGGAGGACCTGAAGAAAAGCCACAAGGTGATGTAGAAAGGTAGGATGTTTCAAACCTATCTCATTTCATTTATAGATGTATTCTTCCTTTAATAGTTAAATAAGCCAACAAAGTAATATCTCTTTGGCAACTCAGTCCTAGATTTGATTTCTAATGTGTTTTATCTTGACAAAAAAGACTTGTGTTAAATTGTTAATAGCGGGAAACTAGACATTGATGGTCACTGTTTACTGTTGATGCCTCGCGCTATCATCAAACTCTTAATTTCAAGCCTATTGTACATGTACCTAATTAAATGTACAGTCAAACTCATAATTTCAACCTTGAACAGCCAAGTTGCTAAATTGCTAATGCTCCCTTTAAATTAAAAATAAAAACAATGAATGTCTTACCATTTTTTCCGCAGTTTTCCTGAGTTCTCTGAAGTCACTTCGTAATTCAATTTCTGACTGGTCTTCTGGTTTCACAGTTCCAATATGTATGGCTTTCATGTATTTCTTCACAAAATTAAGATCGTTGTGGAATGCTCTAAAAGCATCCTAAATTGAAAGTAGAAAGTACATTGAAGTTAATAAGCTTATTCAAGAGGCTAACTCCTGAGTTTCTCAGGTGATGGGTAGTCTAGAAAAGTATGGCGTGTTCTAATATGTTTCCATAATAAAGCAATAATAATTCCTTGTCAATTTCAGAATTAAATACTCTACCAAATATAGCACCATTAAATTCCTTTTAAGAAATGAAGAACTGTTTTTTAATATTATAACATTTTTAAAAAATATTTATAAGAGGAGAGAGAGAGAGAGAGAGAGTTTAATGTCCACTTCACACAAACTAGGTCATTTCAGGACTAACATATGTTTCAATTTTATTTCAATAATGTGCTTGCGCGTAGGGGTCTTTAGCAGTGGGGGGAAACCGGAGGACCTGCAGAAAACCCATGAAATTGGACAGACGACCCTACCCCTTGTCAACCGCGAATCGAAACCACGCCAGTTGACTCAATGACAGACCTTATGATACAACGAGCACGTGCTAACCATTCGGCCATCTAATCCCCAGCTAGTGATCACAGCCGCAAACACCCAAACAAAAAACAAACTTTTCGTTAACCGATAAATAGACATTATACAATAATACATACTGTTGCATCTTGTCCTGCATAATGACTAATAACTCGACTGCCACCTGGGTGTCGTCTTGACCACCGGGTGATGTCATAAACTTCTCCACCAATCACCAACCACTTATCATTGCGTTTGTCATGGACTTTAATATCATCCCATGTGAAAGATTTAACTTCCCTTTCATCCTGTTTATCATTCTGTCCTCCTTTACCCATTTTTTGACATTTATTTCTCAAACTGAAATTAATTTAAAACAATACAATACAATATAAAAAATATGAAGCCTCCCTATCAATCACGGCAGCAAATCATACAACGTTTTTTGGTTTTTTTTAGAGAAAACACAATAGAGATACCACTAGTTACAACACTCAATCGTACAGATGAAATATGCATTTCTAAAATTAATTTAAAACAAGCCAACAGTGAGGCTGATGTCCCCCGCCGAAATCCCCAAATAAATAGATGACACATATTAATTAATGGTACATCTATTTTTTTCAAAAGTATCGAGCAATCAAACTGATTATCAACTATACACAAGTTTCATCACTCTCTATCAGATAGAATCAAAGTTATCTTGTCCCAAAGCATCGACCAAGAAAATTGCTTATCTCTGCTTAGCTTTAGATCAAAATGTTAATCATTGAACTCAGAAAAGACATTCACCTAATGAACATCTACATCAAGTTTAAACATTCTACCTCAATTAGAAGTTCTGTTCCAATGTCTTGACCAATCAAAATGCTTATTGTTCCTTAGCCTAAGCAGACAATTCTCATCATCGAACTTAGTCAAGGTATTGATGTAATGAAACTATACACCAAGTTTCATCACTCTCACTTAATTAGAACTAAAGTTATCGTGTCCCAAAGCATCAACCAATCAAATTGCTTATCTCTACTTACCATAAGCAGAAAATGCTTATCTTCGCACTCTATCAAGGCATTGACCTAATAAACACCTACACCAAGTTTGAACATTTTAGCTCAATTAGAAGGAGAGTTATTGTGTTCCAAAGTCTCAGCCAATCAAATTGCTTATCGCTCTGCTTACCCTGAGCAGAAAATGCTCATTATCGAACTTAGTCAAGGTATCGATGTAATGAAACTATACACCAAGTTTCATCACTCTCACTTAATTAGAACTAAAGTTATCGTGTCCCAAAGCATCAACCAATCAAATTGCTTATCTCTGCTTACCCTAAGCAGAAAATGCTCATCTTCGCACTCCATCAAGGCTTTGACCTAATAAACACCTACACCAAGTTTTAACATTTTAGCTCAATTAGATGGAGAGTTATTGTGTTCCAAAGTCTCGACCAATCAAATTGCTTATCGCTCTGCTTACCCTGAGCAGAAGATGCTCATTATCGAACTTAGTCAAGGTATTGGTGTAATGAAACTATACACCAAGTTTCATCACTCTCACTTAATTAGAACTAAAGTTATCGTGTCCCAAAGCACAAACCAATCAAATTGCTTATCTCTGCTTACCCTAAGCAGAAAATGCTCATCTTCGAACTCCATCAAGGCATTGACCTAATAAACACCTACAGCAAGTTTGAACATTCTAGGTCAATTGGAAGAAGAGTTATTGTGTCCCAAAAAGTGTGACGGACAGACAGACGGACGGACAGACAGACAGACGAACCCATTTTAATAGTCCCCTGCTTTCTTCGAAAGGCGGGGGACAATAAAAATATGAAGCCTTCATATTACTTAATGCAGCAAGTCACTTGATGTATTTTTTAGTGAAAACACAATAGGCTTACAACCAGTTACAACTCTCGATTGTACAGATGAAACATGCATTTCTAAAATTAATTTAAAATATAAAAATATGAAACCTCCCTATCACTCAAAGGGTTCTCCTTAAAGTAACTTGTATTCCATATAATTGTGTTATGTGCTAACAACAACCATAATATTCATATTTTTTCCAAAATTTTAAAAAAATTAACTGTTTCCTTTATCTATTTACCAATAAATCAGATTTACATTTTACAAGAGAGGGAATGACACAGACTCTAGTATTAAAGGACAATATTGGTGCCAGTCATTATCACATATGTCATAGAGCTGGTTAAACACATTCCAAATATAACTTTGGTCTTCGAAGGAATTATTAGTGAGCAGAAATTTGCCCGTATACCCGTTATCACTGGTCACATCAGTCAGTTATATACATGTAGAGAGATGACTCGAGTCTTCCTTTGGCATTTGTCACTTCCGATTCAGAAAACCTGTATTACTCATGAGTCAGCTATCGTAGCAATGATCTCTGTGTTAAAATTATATTTGGAACGTGTTTAATTAGTTCTATCACATATGTGACTATGACTGGCACCAATATTGTCCTTTAATGGATCCCCAGACAGCTAGTAAATACGGGTACCATATATTCCCTTACAAAGTAAATGGTAGACTGGCCTCCAGTTAATGGTGATTGTAATTATCTCGTGATACTCTACAGATTTGATCAGTTTATGGATTTTGTTTTACGTAGACTGCACCGAGGGAGTAGAAATCATATCTTCAGTGGAATATTCCACAACTGACATCTCAAATTTATTACCAGTATTTAAAGAGACATTATGCAAGAGCTAAATCTGCCTATTGCTGGTTTTTCTTTGGTTGGGCCTTTAAAGTTATCTGAATTATTAATTTGACATTTATTAAAATGACAAGACCATATATATAAGAAAAAAATATATATAGAACGATTTAACTCTCAGTTAAACATATAAGTAAAATTCAAATATTAGAGAAAAAACACTAAAAATTAAATTTTGGGCTAGTACTTTCATCGTTATCAAACAAATCGTCAGGCCATTTTAATGCGTTACTATGCTGTTACAATAACGTTACAAATGATGATAATGATCTCTTGGAAACAAAGAAAGCAACTTTATCGCTAAATATAACCCAATTTTGAATGCTAAGGGGTGATTATTTTAATTATGTTTGATGTTTAATTAATGTTATTTCGTTTTAGTTTTTATACTTTTATTTACATGGTCATTTTTCTCTGTTATGACGTAATGTTATTGTAACAGCATAGTAACGCATTAAAATGGCCTGACGATTCATTTGATAACGATGAAAGTACTGGCCAAAAATTTAATTTTTAGTGTTTTTTCTCTAATATTTGAACTTTATATATATAGACACACTTGTACTAAGCTATATTACTGATCTCTTAAAATGACTTTGGAGTGTGAAATAAGGAGTTCACTCAAGCAAAAACATACCTATGGTTACCAAGTCCACAATTAAACAAACCTTTTTGAAAGCAATCGGTGTCAATCTATGGTAAAGTTAGTCTGAATTTTTGACAATGTAATTAAGCGTACATGTGGAATAGTTAAATCTACCGTAAAAACTACACGGCTCAGTGGATACATATTCTCCAGTGACTAATAAAGCAGAAGCTAAAATTTTAATATTGGAAATCGAATTAACTGCCTATCCATCCATGCTATAAAAATATAAATTGAAGGAATAAACACAAAAGGCATTTACACTCCATGAAGAATATTGCCACACTGCTTTTGGCGGGTGCATAAAAATAAAATAAGCTTAAACATGCAATTCTATCACAAATAAGATAATAATTGAATTCATTTTACCAAGTAGGCTAGAGACATTACCTTTTATTATCAGCTAACTTAACCTAATAATCACACAAATATACCACACAGCTCTTCTATATAATTACCATTCTAATCAATCAAAAGTTAATCAATAAAATAATAATTATATAAACACTCATACACCTTATCACATATTATCGGCTGCTCTATCAACCATGCTTTTACCTTGGCCATCAAAAGTCAGTGTAACCACAAGCTTGTTTCTATAAACAGATAACAAACACAACCTTTGAGCTACACGACACACGTAGGACTGATTGAATACCTTGATCATTCTATTCTATCTCATAGTTGATTGGATCTGATCAATGAGCCACTCGTACCGAACTACTAGCATGTTATACAAAGTGCACATTGCCCATTATATCAAGCATGTACCATGGTAGATTTCCTTCAAGTGGTTAATAAACAAATAAAGTGTCTGACCTTTTATTGTTCAAAGAATATTAATAAAAATAATTAAGGGGTGAACCAACAACATACCTGTGAAGGAATAAACAATTAAAGAGAATAACTCTAATTTAGAATTAACAGGTGCCCAGAGATCCAATATACATTTACCTGTATATTGCAAGATATTCAATTGTACAGTTTTCAATCAAGTCTAGATTCATCAACTATTAATGTCTTTAATGCAGGGCTTATGTTTAGTATTCAATTAGGAGCAAGTGCTTTCAACTGCTTATAAGTGAGCTCATGTTGATTAAATCAGCAAAGTGAATTAGCACTGGTTTGCTGATACCGTTAATTTATGAACCTGGGCCTTTTAGTAATGACAATTTTTGTCATTAAATGACACAAGAGATCATTAAGCTAAATTAGTGTTTATAGAAAATCATTAGAAATTGTACAGTTGCCATTAATTAGCAGGTGTGCAATTAATTAGCTGTAAAAGATTTGACTATTTATAACACGCATCACTATTGAATACACAAACCTGGACAATAGTGATGTATATCTTTCAATAGTCAAGACTTTAACGCGGTAGTGACATAACACCTACTTAATGACATCTGTCTGATTTCTAGCAATTTTAATGAACTAATAAACATTATGTATATAAAAAGATGTCTTTGATCTGCTAGTGCCGTTATTTGTTGCTTAGTCAACGATATCAACTTTACAGTATAGAGTGCTTGTGTGGACTTTGAAACTGTTATTTATTCATTCATTACATGAAGATGCATCCCAAATACATGACCTGTCTTGCCCTAATTCTATCATTACATTATTGTCAACATTAGCTTCCATTTTGCCTATTTACACAGTAACGTGACATTTCTTATCACATGATGTTGTTCCACTGAAACGAGTTGTGAAGTCAGTTGCAAAAGCACTTGTGCCGATGCAAACTAGTTGCCACTAGCTGAAACAAGTTGCAGAAAGTTAATAATATGCAACTGGCTTCAACAGACTGAAACTAGTTGCTTGAGTTACAAGAGCCGCTTAGTTCGACCATTGTCAGTTGAAGCCAGTTGCCGAAATGCCAACTGCTCTCAATTTAAAGGATAACATAAGCCCTGCTAACTTACAGCATTGACATGCCAACAAAAAAGTTGCGTAAAGACCTCCAAAGAGTTAGACTGTCTGTATACAGTCCTTGCCTATACTGTAAATACTTTGGTTCTTTGTTTTTGTGAAGTTCTCATTTAACATCTATAGATAACGGAAGTATTGAGATAAAAACAATTGTGTGATCGACTGTTCACCCAGTAAACCAAATTGAAACTAAAATTAGTAATCAAGTCAACATCTTTTTAACCTTTCAAAACAAACTATTTAATTGTATAGAGATTACTTCATCACTTATAAGTAACACATCATATCGACACAATCCAATACTTATTTTAACCCAATTCAAATATTTAAAAATATAAACTTGTTGTAGATGATTTAACCAATTTGAACAGGTTAATTTAATTCTAAAAAATATTAACTACCCGTACTGTTAAAAAGGAAAGAGATATCTAGAAGCATTTTAATTATTATCTATAGTATTGGTCCAGCTTTGTTGAAATACAACTTCTCAATTTCAAAGAGGTGTTCATCTACTGTTCAACAGATGTTCATCCAACTTTGTACCTGTACAGAAACTCAAAATTAACTATTACATATTACAATGATTAAACTCAGAACAGTTGATGTCTGCCTTGGTTCCAAAAAGGATGAGAACCACTGCTTGCTCTAGCCATTGCAATGCATATTATTATACTGGAACTTTACCAAAGTGTAGTTATACAGACATGTACATTGACATTCTATATTGTGAAAAAATACACTTTGTTCCCTATACAACAACCCTTCAGCCCTATGATACATTTAGACATAACACACTTTTTAAAGGAAATTAAGTCACTAGTATTCAAAATAGCGATATGTTTCGATGAGTATCCTCTTATCGTTATCAAACTTGAGGTTAATATGGTGATGGTGAACCCAAAAGTGTCGATCTATTAAGTCAACTGATCCTGTGATTAATCGTACATTAGGCAAACTAAACGACCTGTAGATAAAAGAATCTTTGAACACTTTGTAACATATGTCCTGTAGACGGTTTGGAAGATCTTTAAATAGTCTTTGTCATACAATCTAATTGGTGTGCTAATTTGCACTTCCATAAAGTAGGCCTACTTCGTATAAAATTTATAGTGGATAATGGTCCCACACCAAACTTCAGAAGATTCTATTTTACAGACTGTTGTATTTCATCATAATATGTATATATACATGTATGTGCATGTATATCAGTGTTTTACTTTGCTGCCCTCCCATTAATAATTATTTTATATGTCATACATGTATGACAATCATGTTAATTAGAAAGCTTAGTGGCACGTAAACCTGACAGCCCATTTTTCTGATTACTAGATCAACCTTCTCGTATTCTTTGAATTTGATAGACAATTAACAGCACTGATGTATCTCAACCTGATATTATACTCTCCATTGGTACAACAGTCCGATAATCCAAGGTTCTGATGCTCTTATTTCGAGAGGGAGAGAGGGAATGGGGTTTAACGTCCACTCGACACAAACTACGTCATTTCGGGACTAACATATGGTTTAATTTTATTTCAATAATTCGCTTGCGCGTAGGGGTTTTTAGCAGTTGGAGGAAACCGGAAAACCCAGAGAAAACCCAGGAGGTTGGACAGGCGACCCTACTCCTTGTCACGTACAACCGGGGATTCGAAACCACGCCAGTTGACTCAATGACAGACTTTATGATACAGCGCGCGTGTGCTAACCATTCAGGGTTCTTTAACGTGCGAGTCAATGTATATGCACATACTGGTACCTTCATATATCACTAGCTGCAACATTGTACCAGGGTCTTGTCTTATTCATGGCTACAACTGATACACTATTCAAGGCTTTGCGCAAGTAAAATTAGGTTCAATTGCAAATTTTCAACACATATCACATACAGTTTGCATGGAAATAAGTAATTATGTTGCATATATAGTGAAGAGTGGAACACTGAAATCTTAATCTTATGTTACCGACAGTTTTTCTGTATTTTCGCAGAAACATAAAATAACATGTGTGTTCTAATTCAGAGGCCATTTTAAAATGGATATACATTTGGAGTAGTAGTTTGATTTTATCAAAATTATATAATTATGCGGTAAAGGTTCATCTATTTTTCAATGGGAATAACGTTAAGCTATGTGCAGTAGCCTATAGTTTGGAGTCGGTTTAATGGAAATTAAGGGAGTTATAGCCTAGGCCAGTAACTTTTTTGTCACCAAATCGTGACAAAACCTGCTCAAAGCTGACAATAAGGAAGTCCTTAGAACGATCCACTACTGTGGCTGGAAGAAGACCAAAGACATCAGTAGTGGAACCATTTCTAGCACACCTCCGCCAATAAGGGAGATCCACGCCGAAAACCAGGATCAAACACTTGGGACGCCTAGTCCAAGTTAGCAATTTAACGTCTTTCTTACTGTGTTAAGAAACATTGACTCAAACTATTTTTAAGAATGCACATTTTTCTTGTTTACATTGTGTTTGGCTGATGAATTATTTCAGTCTACAAAAGTTCAACAAGTGTGATAATATCGGGGTTGGGAGCTACTGGATTTGCCTAATATTGCCATTCTGATTCAGCCCATTGTTCAAATATGACACCTCCAGACAGCCCACGGCCTAGTGAAAAGAACAAAGATTTCTGCACAAGACATAGCCTACTGGTCAAGTACGCTAGATAAAATATCAAAATGGTTTGCTGACTTCGATCACGTACGTACAAAAAATAAACAATCAATGACATTGACAGTTACCGGTAGTGAAATTCGATGAATGAATTGACACATGCCCCATGCTTTTGCTGATATTGCAATGCTAAAAAAAGCTTGAACTGACGACCGACCACACTTGTTTAGTGACACACCTGCAGTCGTAAAACTGTATTACTTGTATCCCATCTAGAATTATTTTTTTACTAGTTCTAGGTTATATAAACTTACCAAGAGAAATAATTGATTTTATTAAATCTTTGGGTTTGGCTGACAAAACGCACGCACCTTCCAGATCTTGCGATCAATACACGAAAAAGGATAGTGTCGGTAGTCGGTATCGTGGATATATGAAAAAATATATTCACATTTTATGCAAATTTTCTAACAATTCAGTTTGCAGGGCCAGCGTAAATGTGACCTAGTCAGGCGATGAGTCCAGCCAATAAAATCATTGCCGGTTGTTCTGACACAAGCTTCGATTAACCAGGCTGCTTTGAAATTTTCTTACATAATTGGAGTCTTGATATCCAAGACTATGCATTCGTCACCCATCGTTAGGGTTCGCCAAATTTCAAATCCTATGTGGAAGATCAAAATATAATCATAATTATATAATTCTTAATTTTTTTTTTTTTTAAAAAAGTGGCAAATCGGTTTAAAGGCTATCCAGCCTTTTAATAAGGAATCAAATTATCAACTAAGTTTCTGGTGTTTTTAGCGATTTTTCATCTACAAAATCGCAAATGTTGAATTTCCAAAAGAGAGGTAGAAAGAAATTGGGTTTAAAGTCCACTCGACACAAACTAGGTCATTTCGGGACCAACATATGGTTCAAATTTATTTCAATATTATGCTTGCACATAGGGGTTTTTAGCAGTGGATGGAAACCGAAGGACCCGCAGAAAACCCACTAAGGTTGGACAGGCGATCGTATAACCGGGAAATCGAAACCACACCACTTGGCTCAATGACAGACCTTATGATCTAAAGTGCATGCATTAAAACATTTGACCACCCAGCTCCCCCCTTAAATCAACAAAGAGACCTAGTCATTTTAACCTGAATTAAGAATGAAATTTTGTAAGGTCATGTACCACGGACAGTTGGAATTTGGTGAGGTGGAATGCTGCTGTTCAGGCAAAATTCTGGCTGACATAATTATTGTGTTGCGCCACGAGACACCCATCCAAAAAGTTTGAAAGGAAATGAAATGAAATGGGATTTAAATTATTGTCCTACTTTTCTGCTCCGACTGGGCTAATGAAGATGGACATACGCTATACAGTGAGGAAAATTTTGCACGGACAGCAGCGCTACGGTCTACTCTTATATGTAAATATGTACATAGGACCTCGGTTTTTTGTTCCATCCGAACAACTAGACCGCTGACAAGGGGGAACCACACCGATGTCTTTCTTGCTGAGCTCCCCATGTTTGAAAGGATAGGGATATGGGTTAATATGGATTGTGGACTAGCATATGAACAGTATCCTTCTCTGAGGTTTTGGTTCACCACATTTGGGGCATTTTAAAATGCAAACCTAGAACTACACAAACTGTATTCAACCTTTGCTCCCTGAGCAGAACAGTAGAACATTAATAAACCCCCATTTCATTTTAATTCCAAATCAACCCTGTACAAGGCACATACCATATACCTGCATGGTGCGACTAAATCTTCTTGTTTAGCAATGGATTGGTTGACCTCAAATTTTGCACAAAATTTTCTATAAACATAACACATCTAGTTGCATCTTCATATAATATATTCATCTAACACAAAACCAACTGATATATGAACAAAGATATTTTTATTTTGTGGACGGATCAAAAACAAATTTACAATTTAACACATCATAATCATAAATAAAACAATATTACATACACTGACCAACTGTAATCGTCTCTAATCTATAAATAACAACAATTATACAATACAGTTATTTTATGTCACTTTTTATCAGTGTTCGATGTCACAACTCCTTTTGTACACTATAGAGTTTTAAATATGTGCAAGCTACGTAAATTTTCTCAAACTTTTTTTTGTAAATAATAATTTTATTCAGGATATTTGAATGTGATTTGAATAGAACATTGATTAACTCTGAGGTTTTAACTGTTGAGGAAGTAAAGAACATTTGAACTCTGATAAGCCTTAATAAGTGTCCAGGAAAAGACTTGCCTCTATTATACAGTATAAAATAAATGAATGTTGTTTGTATAACATGATTGTCAAGAATTGTTAAAAGACCAGCAAAAGATAGTGTCACTTTTTAATAATTGAACAATTTAATAGTATAGCCAACATAAAGGGAGCCATGGTGGCTAAGTGAGTAAGATGCTGGCTTGCTAGTCTGGTGGTCGCGTGTTCGATTGTGCAATGGCCCAAACAGTTCTTCAGGATTTTCCGACGTGGTTTCCCCTTGTTTGTGGTCTATTCATTCGGATGAAACAAAATACAGGTCCCTTGTACACATTGGCATGCACGTTAAAGATCCTTAGTAGGGGTCTTTAGTAGTAGGAGGAAAATGGAGAAAAAAGAGAAAACTGATGAGATTGGGCACCCTACACTACTCCTTGTCACATACAACCGTAGAATCTAAACCACACCACTCAACTCAATGACAGACCTTATGACTTAAAGCACACATTAAATTATTCGGCCACCCAACCCCCAGTGGAGAGAAAAGATATAAATATATTATGATAACAGGCTTCAGTAGAATAAAACAGCATTTTTAGTACAGATCGTTTCTGGTCTTGTGATCCTTCATCAAATTGAGGCTTTATTAAAAAAATCATAACTACAATATCTTCATGTTAAATAAAGAGCTGACCATAGAACAACTGATACAATTTCTTAATTACTTAGGAAAACTTTTGGTTGTGCTACGGTATACAATACAGACAAATACCAACACATATGATATATATATAGGAATAGAAGTCAATGTTATCAAAATGGTTTATGTTTTATTAGCTTTTTCTAATATGATGCACTAATAGTAAAACCAGTTGTGTCTAAAATTAGTTTAAAAATAGAAATTTGACATGAATACATACATGTATATACAAAAATTGATATACACAATTGTGTTTTTAAATATTTATATTAATGTCGAGTATTTACGATAACACCTCCCATAAACCTGATAGTGTAAAGCCATCTTTTAGTTTTTCAATAGCTAGTCCTAATTCCTCTGAATAAACTGGTTCTCTATCTCTTTCTTTGTCTCCGTCTGCAAAATACGCCTTGAAATAGAATAAAAAAACATGAAGTTAGGTCACAAAAAATATGCCCAATGGCAACTTTTGTTGTACTACTGGTGAGCTCTAATCAATTTCACTCAACACCCTCTTTTACAACCCCCTAATTTCTTTAGGTCATAGACTGACCTTGGTGTTAATGTTTATACTCGACGAAAAATGAATTTATGTTCCTGATTTTCAGTTAAGATCCTCTTTATGACTAGCTGAAAAATCACAGATAGATGGTTGAAAAAAATTAAGACTCAGACCTGTTTAAGAAAGAGGAACGGAAAAGAATGAGGAATGGATAGATAGGGGAGATGACAATATACCCTTATATTAAACATATAAAAAGCAAGGGTAGATAACTTACAGCAAATGCATCTGTTTGATCATCATGTTCAATATCAACATCATCCTGTATTGGTTCAACTGGTAGATCTTCCGCTACAGGTGTCTAAAAAAACAAGAACTATACTCTTTAATTTATTTTGTAAACCAAATAAAAAAAATCACAAATATCTTCGAATTAAATTATTTTTTATTCTTTGAATGGCATTTAGTAATTGGAACATAATCATAAACACACTTTTATGGATAACAATTACTATGGTTTATTTCACTGCGACGTTTCAACAAGGTTTCACAAGTCGTTATCAAGCATCAAGTGTATATGCTTGATAACGACTTGTGAAACCTTGTTGAAACGTCGCAGTGAAATAAACCATAGTAATTGTTATCCATAAAAGTGTGTTTATAAATTATTTTTTATTTAACCAGCTATTAGAATCCAATCACCAAGGACAAGAGGTTAAATAGAAGCCTATCAGTTTCACTGACCAAGACCAGAGTGGTCATAGTGCTGCTTGTAAACTACTACAAAAAAAGCACCCCTGGTAAATTGGAAATTGTACCTTATTAAAGATACATTATAGAATATCAGATAAAGAGCTGGCACTTTTCACTATCATAGTTAACCAGCAGCTGCCAGGCAGGATACGCCCCCATTTTGCAAGAGATGTATAGAGAACAAGTTAAACAAAGAACGATTTTTCATACAATCAATTGCCATAATTCAGGAAGTTACGATCCGACATGCGCGAATATCGACAGGAACCAAGATCCTTGGGTTGTAAAGATATATTTCAAGTTTCATCAAAATCGGATCAACATTGTGACTTCTAGAGGGTCCATTGCCTTAATATACCATATATTTACAATATTTGCGTATGCAGGCGGCCATTTTGTTCGGCAGTTTTGGTCTGATTTTCACAAAATTCTAACTCGGACGTCATTAGGGTGTAACGGTAAAATATTCAGATGTTTTTTTCAATCGGTTTAAATTTAAGAATAAATTATACAAATGAAAATATTTTTGGAAAGACCTGGTATAAATATTTAACATTTTCTGTCATTTTTACTTATAGGTCAGGACCTGCAAAATGGCCACCTGATCAAAGTTCCATATGGAACATCTGATGGTCAAAGGGTTAATAGATGACATCAGTTATGAAAATTTTATTTATTTTTTTTTGTTCAGAAATTAAAAGTAAAAATCTACCCTGTCTTCTGTATCATATTCCACACCAAATATCGGACAATGGCTGTAAACTTTGTGTAGATTTTGAATCTGTTTAGCCACTGATTGTAACTTCTCAGCTGGATCTATTCTAAATCCAAGAACATACCCGCCACTCTATAAATACACATAAATAATATAGTAACTACTCTAAAAATACACATAGATAATATAGTTATTACCACTACTCTATAAATACACATAGATAATATAGTTATAACAACTACTCTAAAAATACACATAGATAATATAGTTATAACAACTACTCTAAAAATACACATAAATAATATAGTTATAACAACCATTCTATAAATAGTTATAACTGCCAGTCGAAAAATACACATAGATAGTACAGTTATAACCACTACGCTATAAATACACTTAGATAATACAGTTATAACTGCCACTCTATAAATACACACAGATAATAATTATAGTTATAACCACCAGTCTATAAATACACATAGATATTATAGTTATAACCACTACTCTATAAATACACTTAGATAATATAGTTATAACCACTAATCTATAAATACACATAGATAATAATTATAGTTACAACCACTCTATAAATACACATAGATATTATAGTTATAACCACTAATCTATAAATACACATAGATAATAATTATAGTTATAACCACTCTATAAATACACATAGATATTATAGTTATAACAACTACTCTAAAAATACACATAGATAATATAGTTATAACAACTACTCTAAAAATACACATAGATAATATAGTTATAACAACCACCCTAAAAATACACATAGATATTATAGTTATAACCACTACTCTATAAATACACTTAGATAATATAGTTATAACCACTAATCTATAAATACACATAGATATTATAGTTATAACCACTACTCTATAAATACACATAGATAATATAGTTATAACAATCCCTCTATAACAAAAAAATATGTGTACATAGATTCCATCACACATAATACATCATGGATTTTTGCCGTTTTCTCAACTACTAAGTGCCCTTTTCCTGACAGGATGTCTGGTTAATTAAGTGCAACTTAAAGCAAATGAGAGTATTTGGAAGAAACCTTTTTAGTTGTACTTGACAAAATGCCAGCAAATAATGAAGTTGTATCAAATATTTCAAAGATATTATAAATAAAGACACAGAAAAAAATCTGACAGGAACCCGAGGAAGTATGTTTGACAAAGTCAGAATTTTTGCCCAATATTTTCAGTGATAATAATGGCTTATTTTCCAATTGAAATGTGATTAAATTTATATTAACTTACCGATGTTGATGTTTCTACTACTAAGGCCAAACCAAATTTTGAATCCCTGATTTTTATAGTTCTCTATAAAGATAACAGAAGAAAAAAAAATCTGAGAAAAAGAATATAAAATTGTGCTACATCTGAATCGTTAGTCAAATTTGCTTTCATAGGAACAAAAAATTATTGAATTTCGAGACATTTTTTTCAATTCATCCAGCACAGAATAATTATGAAGAAGTCGATGATAAACTTACCATTTGTAGATAAGGAATACTGACATTGAATGACTCGTTGATATTAGCATGCCAAACTAATCGTACATTGGTTATATAAAATGTTCCCAAATTGCCCTAAAAAAGATAATAACTTCATAACACATGTATGATAGATAGGTATAACTTAAATACTACACAATAATTACCCTTCAGTTTACAAGTCTGTTGACCATTTTTGAAATGCTACAACAAATATCAAATACAAAGCAATTGCTCTTTCTTCACAAGGGCAGTATGTAGTAGTCAAGTAGTAAGGGAAAGCCCAGTTTACAGTTGTCAAGGGTATTGCCTGTTGGGCTGCGAAGTAAAGTGTTGCCTAGTCCTTCAGACTGGACAAAAAAAGAGGTCCATCCATCCACAGTGTTCGGAGCAGAACAGTAGGACATTAAGCCCCATTTCATTTCATTTTATTTCGTTTGATAGTCCATAAAAGCACCCATGATAGTTGTAATTTGATGAAGAGAAGGTTTAAACACTGCTGTCCATTCAAACTTCTTCTTCAAAGCAAAACACACTTCACGATAAAACAAACTGCAGGTTACACTCAAAACAAACAAAATATTTTTTGTTTTATTCCCAGTGTTGGTTCAAGAATGTTCCTCACGATTTTTCAGCGCAGTTTACCATTGTCAGTGGTGCAAGAGGGAGAGTTGAGATGAAATGAAATGAAATGGGGTTTAACATCCTACTGTTCTAAGAGGAAAATTTTGCCCTGAAAGCAGTGCTACGGCCTACTCTTCTTATATCAAATTCCAACTGCCAAGGGATCCTTTACGTGCACGCCAATGTGTACACAGGATCTCCGTTTTTTGTCCCATACGAATGACTAGACAGCTGTCCTTGTCAAGCCTTCCCATCAGATGAGATGAAAATAATTGTCTGCAAAAAAATTACCCCTAAAAGCACACTGTATAGTGTGTGCCCATCTTTATTAGCTCTGTTAGTGTAGACCAGTAGGACTGTAAACCCCATTTCATTTCACTTTAAATAATATTTACCTGGTCACTAGAGAGATTCCATACTCCATTTATCTGATCATATATCTGTTCTTGTGGTAATAATCGTATCTGTTTATTCTGTATTAACGCTCCTCGTAGTTTTAAATCACGATATAATTTTGATGTTTCATATGCTCTACAATAAAATAAGTCATATTAATATTAAAAATATTGTAGTTTAAATTATAAATAGAAGATACGCAGGTTAAAATTCTATGGAATACTATTGTTTATTAGAGAAGCCACTGAAACAATTTATAGATAGGAGAGGAGAGCAGCAGCTGTTCATCCACACTCTTTAGAAAGGAGGGACAAAACTAGGTCATTTTGGGACTAACACATGGTTCAATTTTATTTCAATAATCTGCTTGTGCTTAGGGGTCTTTAGCAGTGGGAGGAAACCGGAGGACATGGAGAAAACCTACGAGGTGGGACACATACACCTGGAGAATCGAAACGACGCCAGTTGACTCAATGACAGACCTTATGATACAGCACGCACATGCTAACCATTCGGCCATCCAACCCCCCATTCTATAAACAAAGTCCACAGATTCTTCATGGCCCACAATATGGTCAGGGGCAAACTGGGTAGCTCTGGGATCTTGGATTAACTGGTTCCTTATTGGCCATGACATGACAAGAAAACAAAATTATCCTGATTCACCTGACCTGCAACTCACTCACAGATCACTTTTCAGTGTATATGAAGATCAGTATTATATCTTTTGGAAAAAAAAAAATATGTGGTCGATGTGTCCCATTCGACGGAGCCACGGTGGCTAGGTGGTTAAGACGCTGGCTCGCTAGCCTGGAGGTCGGGTGTTTGATCCCTGCATTATCCGAGAAAATTCATCTGGATTTTCCAACGTGGTTTCCCCTTGTCAGTGGTGCAGAACGGAGGGCCTGACAAGGACAGCTGTCTAGTCCTTCGGATGATACGAAAAACCGAGGTCCCGTGTATACATTGGAATGCACGTAAAAGATCCCTTGGCAGTTGGAATTCGATATAAGAGTAGGCAATAGTGCCGCTGTCCGGGCAAAATTCCCCTCATAGCACACTTTATATGTATGGCGTATGTCCGTCTTCATTAGCCCGGGTTAGGAGCAGAACAGTAGGACGTTAAACCCGATTTCATTTCATTTCTGTCCCATTCGACAGTTCGGGTACATTCCACACCTGAATATGATGTGAACTTGTGATATTCTAATTGAGAGTCCTAACCACAGTCTCTAAATGTATTATGTAGTATCACAAATACATACCTGTGAACAGTTATAACAGATGTGAACAGTCGAGGAGAACCAGAAATCTGAAATAAAAATTGGTATAATATGTGAACATAAAGCCTTGGATAGACGAGAGATTTTTTCGCCCAATCGCGACGATTTTCAAAATCGCCCGAAAAAATCACCTGCGTGCCATTCACTTTGACGACCATTCTGCTCGGCGAATCATTCGCCTGATCAATTGTCCGTATCTAGCCTGTTTGGTACTTTCGGTCGAATATTAGCACGTTAGGTGAAAAAATACCCTTAATATCAGTAGTCAGTACAATAATCCAGATATCTGAAAAAAGTTAAACTTACTAAATTGGTAAAAATAAATTCAAATCTGGTATCATTACATTTGGTTAAAACATACAGAGCCTCAGATGTTCCTCTGATTTTCTGAAATAAAAAAAAACCCCAAAAGTTTAGAATCTTAGAAATACATAATATTTATGTGAGTAATTTTGACTTGGTTTCATCTGATGTGCTACTTCAATCAGTTATGGGAAAAGCTCTAAATAATTAAATTTTGGTTCTGAAATATTACTGATTGATTAGATTACTAATAATAGTTTCATTTTTGAGTTCCTGTGTCGACATGTCAACATGTACACGGGATCTTGGGTTTCGTCATCGGAATGACTAGAAGCTGTTCCATGTCTCACCCTCAGTCCTGCATCACTAACAAGGGGAACCCTCACTATAAAAATAAGCAGAATTTAATTAAGAGGTCGAGTAGGAATATTGAATATTTACATATTCTATTTTCCCCCTTTTTGGCCAATATCTTATATTATTCCACTGTTTTACACATTGTTATAGTTTACTTTCATATATTACTATTTCGGATCCTTTAGAACCTCTTTACTTATTCAATGCCAAGGCCATGTCGATGATGCATGTTTATACCAGACATTTTGTGTCTACATGATTTCTGTTGCGTGATAATTATACAATAGGAGATTAAGAATAAAGATGACGCCTTAAAGATTATAATAGTATTTCTTCTTCCTATAAACCCCCGTTGTGGCTCCCTTGCTACACCCCCACATAAAAGGGTAGCTGCAACAAAGCCATGACCCAAGTCTAGCCATTTTAATCTTTCAGTTAATGACCTTTTTTTGTTTTTTTGTAAACAAGGGGAATATTAAGAAATTTGACTTACAGATTGAGCTGTTTTTGTCGAAATATTTATAACACAATTAAAACCAATTGCTGAAAAGAAAATTTTATGCATTACAAATATAGAAAGAGAGTTAATGAAAGTTTTTATCCATTTCAATATATAGTTAGTAAGAAATATGATATACTTGAAGGGCATTCTCTTTTTGTGGGTGATGTCATTCACAAAGGAATGGGTTATGGGTAGGTTTAAAGGAGCTAAATCTCAAATATTTGGGACCTAGAAATTGACACAAATGGGTTGCAAAGCATATAATAATGTAATATGAATGTATATCAACTGATTTACATTCAATCGTTTCTGTTTCTACTCTAATTTCAAATCAGTTATGTTCGGAAAATACGCCAGAATTCTCAACCGAATGATAATCTCTAGCGTCTGGTTATTCCAGTCTACATAGTATTTATTGCGCATGCTCTCCAGATAAGAATATGGCGGGCCATTTGACATGACTTGTGGTATATATATCTAACCTCGTTCTTCGAGTCCCTGGTTAAAAATTGGCCTGAAACGCATTATGGTACACGATTCGTGTACCAATGATAAAATGTTTATTTTGTCTTAAATATTGGATATCAGAAGCCCATCTTTTCCCGGTAAGATCACAACATCAATGTTCATTTAAATGGACAAATAATTTGTGTTTTCAATGTCGAAGACTTTGGATGATATTGAGTTAGAGACTTAGCTACTTTAATCTATCTGAGGAGTGGACATAGTTTTGAAGCAAGTTCAAACAACTAAAGCCTTGCCCTTACGGTTAGACGCTTTGATATTCGGATGTTAGTACTTTGTATGTCCATTTTATTTTTCAATAATTAGTATTCTTTGTTGCATTTATGTAACGTACTGTTAGTTCTGTGTCTGATGTGTTGAGCAGGTGTCCTGTGTCATATTTTAGAATAAATATATTAAAATATCATCTTACATAAATTAACTCTAGGTACTGACAGTGAATGCCAAATGACACGTAGATTAGTTACCACAAGACGTCCTGTAATCAAAATAAAAATATATATATTGGCATACTATATATTCATTAAAAGATTTGCCTCATACATCCAACTGATTAATTTACCATCAATCAAAAAGTTCTACTAGCTTTAGAAGTACATGTACATGTAATGGTGAAATTTTGGTAAAAATACATAGCAGAACACTTTCTGAAATTTTACCTGAAAAAATTTAATAAAGAAATACAAGAATACTAAGCAATCATCTAATTATCAGTCAAAAAGTTCTAACTTTAGAAGTACATGTAATGGTAAAATTTTGGTAAAAATACATTGCAGAACACTTTTTGAAATTCTAGTCAAAAATATTTAATAAGGAAATATAAGAATACTAGCTAAATCTTCTTTTCTCTCTTCAACTCTGCTACATCAAATCAATTAAATAAACGTAGCAATTTGAGGACAAAATCTTACCTCTATCACCATTATTACCCTTCGTATCCTCAATGGCATCTAATCTATCAATACATTTCTCACCAGATCTCATTCGTAACTGTCTGTAAGAGAAGAAATTTAATACTGAAAATTAATTTTTTTTGAAAGAGTTTTGATATCGGTCTTGTCTTTTTGATCTGTATCTTTACCTTGTGCATCTTTTCATCTAGCTGTCGTATTTCTAAGCCAATAAAAAAATATGTCTTATAGAAAATGTAGTATATCCTTGGAAAAAAACAAACTTTGTGACTCAAAGTATTACAAGCCAAACAATGTAGCCTAGCCTGATATGTGCTGATAGCTACATACTCCTTTACATGACTACACATACAATTTTTACAAAAATATTTCAGAAAATATTTAGAAATACATCTTTATGCTCACAACATTTTGATGTGATGTGTCTGTTCAATATCATGATTCTTAACCTCTAATAGTTTATGTGGTTTTTGGTTATCATGGACAATTTGACAAAACTGACCCAAAAAACTTGGCATAATAGATAACTTAACATGCCACTGCATTGACTGCAGTCAATTCGACAAGGCGCTATTGAACACCTCTACCAGTTCCTGACTTCCCGTGGTCACGAGAACTGGTACAGGTGTGTGAAAGTGCAATGCCAATAGCGCCATATGACTTTCGCTACAATTAAATGTATCGTTAAACTGTGTTTAACACTACAATTGATACAGTCTAAGACTCCTTACCCTAGTTCAAATAGGTTCAAACGCACAATTGTCAACACATATCATTAGTTGCAGTAAGTAATTCTATCACAAGTAGTGAAGACTGGACCACTAAAATAGTTACTGAACAGTTTTTCTTTGTGGTAATGCGTTCTAATTCTATCACAAATAGTGAAGACTGGATCACTAAAATAGTTAACGAACAGTTTTTCTTTGTGGTAATGCGTTCTACATTTTCAAAGCGATGTTTAACGTGAGATGAATGCGCATGCTGTTTCTAACTGGGCGGACATTTTAAGTTCGGTAGGCGAGAAATTTCGCGTAGCAGTTCGGTTTCATCAAATCATATAATTATGCGGTAAGGCTTCACCTTTATTTCAGTCAATGGGAATTGGTTTATTAATTATATGTTAAGCTATTATGTATAAATTAAGAGAGTTATTAGCCAGTAACCTTTTTGTAGTCATTTGACTAAAAAAAAACTTGCACAAAGGAACTCCGTAGGACGAGCCACTACTGTGGCTGGAGTAAGGCGGAAGACATCAGTAGTGGAACCATTTCTACATACGACTTAAAGGCTCAATACCACTCTTGTTGTTACTAAGGCTGGGAATCGATATGAAATTTCAATATCGATTATCGGCAAGAATTTGTCAGCGATTATCGATAATAATCGATTATCATTTTACCGGGAAAATTCGAACTTTACCGACCTGTTGTTTGTGTTGGTCGACACAGGCTACCACTATTTTGTTGTATTTGTTCTTCAACAGTCATGTTTAATAATAGTATTGTATAATAAAAATATTCCAAAACATCTTCAGTCTTTATTACTGTTTATTTAAACACATTATATTTATTAATATTATTATACAATCTGTCAATAATCAATCGTAATAAAAAAACAAACGAAAGTAAATTGAAGTTATAACTGTTACATTTACGGTCGTCGGTTCCGTAAAAACCAAAACAATTCCATATCTCGCTTTTTGCCTTTCCTGGGAAGTCAAAAACGTGTTTTGTATGGGCTGTATCTGACATGATTTAGTAATTAAAGCTGAGTTGATCATTAATATCGTGAAAGCAGACGATTTCTCTACAAATCAATCAAGAGCAAAGAAGGGAGATAATTCTAATTTTACTATTATATCACATGCGATTGTCATTGTTCACAAAGTGCGTAACCTATTTTAGTTTCAACAAGTAATAACAACAAAAACAACAAAAATATTAAAGTAATGTATTTAATCTTAAAGTTTAGTTTTTTACAATAATATATATTTAAAATGTGCTAGTTTGTAAGCAGAGGGGGAAAATAGTTGTATTGACGTTGTGTATTCATTCATTCGTCTGATAATGCCAGACTACGGCAAGTTCAGTCATGTGAAAGTGACCGTAACTTGCCGTCAGAAGGTAAATACACCGATAATCGATATTTGAATTTCAATATCGATTATCGCTAAATAACTTCTACCGATTATCGATTATATCGATATTTTTGCACAGCCTTAGTTGTAACTGAATAATATGTCCCAATCTTTATTCTGGTCAACAAATTGTACTATTTTACAATATTCCAATTAATTGATGATACAAATTTCATCTTAAAGGAGCTAAATCGCTAACATTTGGGACCTAGAAATTGACAAAAGTGGGTCGCAACGCATATAATAATGTAGTATGAATGTATATAAACTGATTTACATTCAATGGTTTCCGTTTTTACTCCAATTTCAAATCAGTTATGTTCGGCAAAATAAGCCAGCAGTCTCAAGCGAGTGCAAATTTCTAGCGTCTGGTTATTCCTGTCTACATATGCCGTTTGATTTGCTGCAATGTGTCTAGCCTCGTCCCTCGAGTCTCTTGATACAACTGGGGCTGAAGCGCATTATGGTACACGATTCGTGTACCAATGGTAAAATGTTTATTTTGTCTTAAATATTGGATATCAAAAGCCCATCTTATTCCGGTAAGATCACAACATCAATGTTGATTTAATTTGACAAATAAATCGTGTTTTCAATGTTGAAGATTTTGGATGATTTTGAGTTAGAGACTTAGCTACTTTAACACACCTAATTTAAAAAATTGGAAAAATTCAACTAAATGATTTGAAAAGCCTGACGTAAGGCTTATCAAATGTGACTTGGATTTAAAAATATTTTTGAACCCTCTGGACAAGTAAAATAGGATTTAATGGATAATTTACACAATAGGTAAGACACTAACACATCTAGTACTTAGAATAAGGCTATTTTTATTTTCTGGAGCTGTCAAGCCAGCAAGAGTGTTATTGTCCCTTTAAGAAGTGTCTATGTATTGGCTATTAGTCACTTAGTAACATTAGTGATTCATGTATTGTCAAGTATATGTTGATTGATATATTTTTATCACTAAAATCTATTCATTTTATTTACCGTATCTCAAAATAATATAGAGCGAAGCTCTAAAGCATCGCGGTGATTGAGCGAAGCTCTTTTCCGGTAACACAGGAGCGTAACTAAATCTGCCCCACAGACTGTTGATTAAAAAAAAATCCAGACCGGAACCAGATACACTGGGCAAAAAATAGCAATGCGCATGCCAACTTACCAAATCTCGCCCAAGCGAGATTACGTGACCCATAGAAATATTTTTATGACGCGTTTAATCAATGACGTCATATATTTCTGACGTCAATGAAAATAATTCTCACACTTTTTTGTTCTTTTTTTTTTTAAACAAAATTAATCATACAATTTAGATCTAAATTAAATTCAATTCAGAAAAACGAGATTATTTAACATTACTTGTATCACTTCAAAAACTTAATTATGAAGGTTTTATATTTAACAACAATCACACCAGCTTCGCTCTACTCAGGCAATGCCTGTTACATATTAATTCTAATGAAAAGGTATACAGCATTTGTTTGATCAACAAAATGGTTTTTACCATCTGCATGGAAGGACTTACTGAGGACTAATGTCAAATCTAACATCTCGATCTTCCCAAAGTGTGTCGGCCATTTTGACGCTTTTGGTTGCTGGAATGTGTCATGTGACTAGTCACGTGACATTTAGCAGGCTTACTCGATTAAATTCAATACGATCACCGTTACTGCGTTAGCCTTTACCACATCGTGATATATTAGGTATTAAATTATTTGATAAATGATCAAAGAGTACAAATTTTAATCATATAATTATAACACTTGACTTATGGTCCTATTGTACAATCATGGACCGTTGGATGCCGAATTTGATCTGAAGCTCCAACTAATTTCAATGCGAGTAAATTTATGAAGCAAATCAAGTGAAGCTATCGAAGTGCTTCCGGTGTTATCGAAACGTGAGTAGAACGGAAAATTGTATTATTTATATTTATTGATCAAAATATTACGTTTAGCTTACGTACATGTCAGTTTGTCTAGTTATTTCACAGTGAACAAGTAAACCAAGAGGTAGTAAACAAGAATGTTGGATAAATTGTTTATATTTCTGAAAAATAAATCAATCGATTTCAAAATTATAAACTCAAAACTTAAACTGCGAGAAAAAAACAAACAAACCACAACCAGGATCAGCGAGTAGCCTATTTAAATTACATTACTCACTGGATCAGCTAGTTTCTTGATTATAACATTACCCCAGGCACAGTTTATATCAGCTTTTATTTTTATTTTTGCAGAAACAAATTGGGGGAAAATGGATTCTAAAAGAGACTCGGAGAAACGGAGGGAGAGATCACGGTCACCAAGAAGAGATAGATCTCGATCGAGGTCACGTGACAGAAAGAAAGCAAAAAGACGATCTCGAAGTAGAGAGAGGTTGGCATTTATTTATTTTAAATCCATTGTCCCGAGGTTAAACATGTTAAGTCAATTATTATCTATAGATTGGACGTAAAACTGAGACTATATCATATGTGTATAAATTCGTAGTGCATTTAAAAGTTCCTATGACAGTTAAATTTTGAAGTTCAGGGAATACGGAAATGTCACTGTCTTGACAAAATTCTCCCAGCTCGCATTGTGCACTTAATTATTACCTTACAAAATGATTGAAGTACTGTATTGATGAGATGTTAAACTCCATTTCATTCCATTCTGTAGACATAGAAGTCGGAGTAAAGAAAGAACAAGAAAGAGAAGTCGAAGTCGTGATAGAGACAGACGGAGAAGTCGGAGTCGTGATAGAAACAAGAATAAGAAAAAAGATTCTAAACACAAAGATGACAAGTAAGTTATTTGTTCATGCCTAAGAGCTAATAGTAATATGTGAGATTCAATGATTAGTCAAAAGATTCTAAACATAAATTTATAAACATTATAAATAATCAACATTGTATGGGATAAATACATTGGAAATATTGTTGTTCCCATAAGTCAACACAGTGCGTGATCAACGACGTGCCACATGACTTGATGTCGAACTGTAAATTATACCTGTGTGTTATTTTTTTTTTTCGAATAAACAGAATTGCAATCGAGTGACGCAGAATTCAGTCCTGTCAAAGTTCTCTCAGTACTGACAAAGGAGGTGTGTGAGTAGAATCGTGACGTAATTAAACACAAGGAATTGGTTGAGATATTTTCTTATTCAGTCGTTGCATGCGCTACAGTCCCAAATCCCTCATTTCACTCAATGGTCACTATTTTGGCAATTGGGAGAATTCATTTCTATAACTTTCACACAAGTATCCCGCCAGAGTACCCAGATTTGGTAATATCTCAGTAATAAAGTCCAACCGGCTAACAATGAATTAAATCTAACTAATGTTACCTATAACTAAAGCAAGATAAAATGATCTCAGAATGAAGACATAGTTTTATTTTTTTTTCAGAAATAAAAAAGAAGAGGAGGAGGAGGCTTCCGCACCTAAAAGAGTTCCACTGTCTCTAGAAGAAATGTTGGCAAAGAAAAAGGCAGAAGAAGAAATGTTAAGCAAGGTATATTTATTGATCTTAATTAAAGATACATTATGGGAGATTAGATAAAGAGCTGGCAGTTCTCACTATGATAGTTAAAAACTAGATAATGTAAAGGGGATTTGCTGAAAATTTTAGTCAAATTGATCCACTCTGAACCCAGAATTTAGCGATTGAATTTTCGGCCTATCCTCAATCATCATTACTAAAGTTGGTACGATAAAAAAAAAAACAGTCTCGATTATCCATTTCATGATTTGATCATGAATGAAAGTTGAGCAGCAAATGGGATCCTAATCCAGTAAATATCGCAGGCTAGCGATGGCATCAAGAGTTGATTATGGCCTGGATACATTAATTAATGTCTAATTAATAATTTAGAAAACATTTCAGGCCTAAAGAAAGCCCCGCAATAGGCAGATTTAGCTCTTGCATAATGTATGTTTAATAATTTCAGCCTAAATTTTTAACAAAAGAACAGAGAGTAGAAGAAGCTATGAAACGTAGGCAAGCTGAAGTTGATGCTATACGTAAAAAACAGGATGAAGAACGTAAAAAACAGATGGACTTTCATAAAGCTGGAAAATCGGCTTTAGGTAAATATGACACAATAGAAGAATTTCTCAATAATTTAGTTATTTATTATTCTTCAATCATCATTATAAATGAGATATTTTGACTATATATCAGTAAAATTAGAAATCTACGAGTGGCCGTCCCAGATTTCTCTCATGAAGCGACTAGTTTCGTTCATTTTGATCTCATCAGGCTTAAATGAAATTTAATGATCATGACTGATCCCGACTGAGACATAAATTATATGTCACGTTGGATAATATTTGAACCATTTTAAATAGATCTTTTGCAACGAACGGCTCATTCTTTATATATATATATATATATCAGTATAAGAATCTGTCCATCTATCATATTATTAAAGGGGAATGATGGGAGATTAGATAAAAAGCTGACTGTTCTCGCTATGATAGTTAAAAAAAATAGATAACGTAAAGAGAATATGCTGAACCGAGATATTGTAACTTAGTTTAAGTTTTCGTGAATAAGGGCCATGGTAAACTTATACATGTACCTGGGATTTAACCACGGTGGGTAAGTGGGTAAGATGCTGGATCGCTAGCCTGGAGGTCGCATGTTTTATCCCTGCATTGGCCGAGAAGGTTAACCAGGATTTTACCGTGTGGTGCAAGGCGGGGGGGGGGGGGGGCTGACAAGGACAGCTGTCTAGTCGATCAGGTGGGAAGAAAACCCAAGATTCTGTGTATACATTGGCGTGCACGTAAAAGATCCCTTGGCAGATGAAATTCGATATAAAAGTAGCTGTCTAGTTGATCAGGTGGGAAGAAAACCCAAGATTCTGTGTATACATTGGCGTGCACGTAAAAGATCCCTTGGCAGATGAAATTCGATATAAAAGTAGGCCATAGTGCTGCTGCTTGGGCAAAATTTCCCTCATAGCACACTGTATGGCATATGCCGTCTTTATTAGCCCAGTCAGAGCAGAACAGTAGGACGTTAACCATACAAGCAAGAGATATTTACATTACTAATTGTATCATTAACAGGAACATTAATTATTTTTTGTATTTTTGGTGGGGAGGGGTTGTTCTGATAATCATTATCTGGTCTGAAGCTTAAGGAATTTTAGAAATATTTTCTCTTACAGAGGGTCCAAATGATAGAGATCGAGATCGAGAACGTGAAAGAAGAGATGCGTATAGAAGAGAAAGAGAAATGGAGGAAGCCAATGAGAGAAATAAAGGTCTTAATGATAAAGGTCTTAGTGATAAAGATAAAACTAAAGAACTAGCAGCTATTAAGGTATATTATATTTTTTCTTTCATCTAACTTACTTCAATATTCAATCCAATCTTTTATGCTGCTGATCATCATTGGGGGGGATTTTTAATCCTTTGCAAACTACATTTATTGTTGAAGTTCCATTCAGTATTTACAAGGTATTATTAATTGAAATTTTCGCAACATTCTACATTTTTGGTATCCCCAGTGGTATCGTTCTGCTCTACTCCACTAAGCAAATTTTAGTCTCGAAATTACCAAGTTTGTGTTAAGAGGATGTTAAACTGCATTTATCTGTCTCTCTCTCATATTTGGAGTCTTGACATCATCTTGTATACTGTGCAATTGTTCATTCTAAGAGGTTTCACATTGTTAAAACATGTGCAATTTTCACATCATACTCTCTCCATGCATGATATGCTATGGCTTTCATATTTTAGTGACCACTGATCAATTCTGCACAATTGAATAAAAAAAGGTATATTTTATTAGCTTGAGAGTTGTCTCAATGTAACTTGTATTTTATTGTTTGCAGGAACGATATTTGGGTATGATCAAGAAAAAGAAACGAATTCGAAGATTAAATGATCGTAAATTTGTGTTTGATTGGGATGCGGGTGATGATACATCACAGGATTATAATATACTATATAAGGACAGACATCAAGTGCAATTTTTTGGACGTGGAAATATAGCTGGTATTGATATAAAGGTATATACACAAATGGAAAACCAACATGGTTTATTTTTCTATTTTTTGTTTACACATGTTTATACAGCCATATTACAATGTGGTTGTATATTGCTGTCGACCCTGTCTGTCCAATCTGTTGTTCCATTTGTCGTCCACAATTTCTTGTGAACAGTCTACAGTTTAAGATTTTATCTTCTGATAACTTCCAAAGTTATTGGCCTTGTTCACAGTTTGTTGAAATTAGTCAAATGAAGAAGCCAGTAGTCCGTCCACCCGTCGGATTTACTTTAAATTTATGTTCTTGGTTTTTATTATTGCAATGAATAACATTTACAAACATTCTGATCATAGGTCAACGTTGGTCTCTATCATCCAGAAAAATATTAGTCTGGATGCGTTGTCAAGATTTGAGAATAATAGGTCGGTCATTGGCAAGATTATCCGGTCTTTTACATTATCATGAACAAAGTCTGACGGAGGTAACTAGTCCTAAAACAAGATGTCGACATGTTATTGTAAAATTTATCTCTTCATGGGCAATATCTATGTATTTTTAATCAAACCTTATTCGTCGTCACGATTCATATTTGTTTATAATAATGCAAGAATTATGTAATTTTTTACTTGACTTGGCGAAAAATACTGGATAATCAACCACATAAAAAACACAAACTCCTGGTTCCGCATGGGCAATGAAACTTTTCGTCAAATATTGACAATGGTCCCGGACCTTCCATACATTGAAGACTAGGAGGTTCTGGGTGACTGAGACTATGTCAACGTGCCAGTGAATTGTACAATGAAAAGATTACTTGGAAATGAAATGAATTGTAACTGCCAATGGTTCTTTTACTTGCATCCAATCGATTACGGGGGGTTGGATGGCCGAATGGTCATGTCATAAGGTCTGTCATTGAGTCAACTGGCGTAGTTTTTCGATTCCCCGGCTGTACGTGACAAGGAGTAGGGTCGCCTGTCCGACCTCGTAAGTTTTCTACGGGTCCTTCGATTTCCTCCCACTGCTAAAGACCCCTACGCGCAAGCGAATTATTGAAATAAAATTGAACCATGTGTTAGTCCCGAAATGACCTTGTTTGTGTCGAGTGGATGTTAAACCCCATTTCTCTCTCTCTCTTCAATCGATTATATGCTGTTCCTTGCCAGGCCCACAGACAGGGGAAACAACTCTGAAGAATCCTGACCCTGTTAGTGAGCTGGTGTCTTACTCACCGGCTTTCCATGGCTCACCTGCTGTGATACTTTGTGAAATAATTATTACAATATTTTATTTTTATAGAAGATATCATGTATGTTTATAGGCTCAGAAGAAAGATCAGTCCAAGTTTTATGGTGATTTACTCGAGAAGAGACGAACAGATGGAGAAAAAGAACAAGAAGTGTAAGATTATATTATTTTATAAACCTATAACAGTAAATCTCTTTGATCTTTGGGGTATATCCTATGCTCGGAATAACTTGTGGTCTGAAAGTCGTGGACAGCTTTGGATATATACAGGGGAATTTGGGGTTATTATTCTGAAAGTTTTTCTTTAAACCTGTAACAGGTTATTCTTCCAGGATAGGGGTTTTTTTTCCATAAGAAAACATGATATATGAGATTTTTCTTACGGAAATTCTGAGATATTCTTATTTTGCGTATGTAAACATAGACGGTTTATAAGCAAGATAAAGTCCTTGACTTAGGTTATGCTGGAGAAGAAAGACTTCAGAAAAACCCTTGACAGCAAAACCTCGGCCTGTCGGCTTTGTATTTTCTTTTTCTCTGGTTATTTTCTTCAGTTTTTCTTTCGCCATCATAACCCCAGTCTCGTGCTTTATCCTACACTTAATATTCATCGTAAAAACGACAATGGAAACCTTAAAAAAAAACTTTTGAATTGATCTGATTTGTTATTTTGATAAGTGATGGTATAAACTATATATTTAATTGGAAGTCTGTTTGATTACTAATTTTAGTATAATTATTAGCTTATTGTGTGGATAGTGGAACATAAAAATGGTGGTATTTCGACAATGGTCTTACCCAGAGAAGTAACATTTTCAACAAAGCCAGATTTTTGTCGCAAAAAAATAAGTCAACATTTATAATCCATTGAAATTGGCAAAGAGAGTGAGAGAAATGGGGTTTAACATCCACTCAACACAAACTAGCTCATTTTGGGAAATCAAAACAATGCCACATGACTCAATGCCAGAACTTACCCCCCACCCCTTAAATCGACGAAAAGATCTAGTCATTTTAACTTGATTTAAGAATTAGATTTCTAAAGTCTTTGTACAAAATTATAATCGTAACCATTTTTTTTAGGAAACGCCTCGGCAATGTGGCTAAAAAGGAAGCCAAACAGAAATGGGATGATCGTCATTGGACACAGAAGGGACCAGATGAAATGTGTGAGCGAGATTGGCGTATATTTAAAGAAGATTTTAAAATCAGTGTAAAGGGTGGTCAGGTACCGACACCCATGCGAGCTTGGAAAGAATCAACTTTAAATAGAGAATTATTAGATGTTATAGATAAGATTGGGTATAAGGTGAGAATTATTACAAGTTATAGATAAGATTGGGTATAAGGTGAGTAATATTATAAGTCATAGATATGATTAGGTATACGGTGAGAATTATTAGATGTCATAGATAAGAGAATTATTAGAAGTCATAGATAAGATTGGGTATAAGTTCAGAATTATTGGCAAAAAAAAAGTATCGTCTTGCATCTGCTTACAATTTTTTTTTTTTTTTTTTAATCATATGTAATTAATATAAGCTCTTGTCAGTTTCCTGAAATAATTTGAAGAATTCTTGATTTCATGTTGTTTTAATTACAGGAACCCACACCCATTCAGATGGCAGCCATTCCTATTGGTCTACAGAATCGTGATATTATAGGTGTGGCTGAAACTGGTTCTGGTAAAACTGCTGCTTTTCTTATTCCATTGTTAGTATGGATTCAAGATTTACCCAAAATGGAAAGGTATGTTCATCAACTTATCTATATTTTTGATGATGAATCAGTATTCACAGTAAGATGGTTTAAAAATCACATGGATTATCTTTTACTGTTATGCATGTATTGAAAGAGCTCTTACTGTCAGTGGATGTTGGATGGCCAAATGATTAGCATGTGTGCGCTGCATCATAAGGTCTGTCATAAGGAGTAGGGTCACCTGTCCAACCGCGTGGGTTTTCTCCAGGTCCTCCGGTTTCCTCCCATTGCTAAAGACCCCTACATGCAAGTGAATTATTGAAATAAAATTAAACCATATGTTAGGCCCGAAATGACCTAGAGTCGAGTGGACGTTAAACCCCATCTCTTTCTCTCTCTCTCCCTCTTACTGTCAGAAATTGGAAGTGAATATAATCCCATCTGATTGACAGTTCTAGGAGCAATAGTCTAATTTTGATTCCCAAATCTTATGGGTTAGATAATAGGTTAAATATAACTCAGGGGTTCTTAATTGTCAGTCCAGAACGATCCAAACTGACAAAGAATTGAATTATGTCACAGTTCTCCCTAGTTTGCGCATACCATGGCACCCAGATTTCACCTACTTATTCCATTAGCACCTTTTGAGGGGAGCTACGGTGGGTAATATGCTGGCTTGCTAGACTGAAGGTCGCTTGTTTGATCCCTGCATTGGCCAAGAAAGTTTCAATGGGATTTTCCGGCATGGTTTCCCCTTGTCAGTGGTGCAGGATTGAGGGCCTGGCAAGGACAGCTGTCTAGTTGTTCGGATGGGACGAAAAACTGAGGTCCCATGTATACATTGGCGTGCACATAAAGGAACCCCTGGCACGGCTGGCAGTTGGAATTTGATATAAGAGTAGGCTGTAGTGCATATGCCTGTTTTCATTAGCCCTGTAAGAGCAGAACAGTAGGACGTTAAACCCCATTTCATTTTATTTCCTTTTTGAGGGATTGAGATAACTTAATTCCAGAATGTTCCATCAAGTTGCCTCTTAGATATTTGAAATATCTAGGAGAGTTATATTTTTTTGTGGTCTACTGTGATGCTCGGTAGGTCTGTCATTCACTCATCATATATATTTATTATAGGTTAGAGGATGCTGACCAGGGACCATATGCTGTTATTTTAGCACCAACAAGAGAATTGGCTCAACAGATTGAAGAAGAATCTGTTAAATTTGGTAAGAATCTGGGAATAAGAACTGTATCTATTATTGGTGGTATATCTAGAGAGGAACAAGGTTTTAAACTACGACAAGGATGTGAGGTTAGTATACATGGATTTGTCTCAAATGATTTCTAAATTTTATTTAATTTGACTGAAAATTGTTCAAACATCAATATTAATATGGATGTAATCAAGGGCACTGGAATGTCCAAGGGGCAAGGGTTGTCCAAGGTTTCCCCAGGATATCAGTGGGATTTATTTTGTTCTGGGAAAAATCGATGACTTGGGAACAACAATAGTATTTATTTATGTTCTGGGAAAAATCGATGACTTGGGAACAACAATAGTATTTATTTATGTTCTGGGAAAAATCGATGACTTGGGAACAACAATACTATTTATGTTCTGGGAAAAATCCCATGACTTGGGAACAACAATAGTATTTATTTATGTTCTGGGAAAAATCGATGACTTGGGAACAACAATAGTATTTATTTATGTTCTGGGAAAAATCGATGACTTGGGAACAATAATAGTATTTATTTATGTTCTGGGAAAAATCAATGATTTGGGAACAAAAATAAGGATATATATATGTTCTGGGAAAAATCAATGATTTGGGAACAACAATAGGATATATTTATGTTCTGAGGAAAATCGATATATACATATATAAATGTTTAACTGATGTTTTATTTCTGTTAACAGATTGTTATAGCTACTCCGGGTCGGTTGATCGATGTATTAGAAAATCGCTATCTCGTTCTCGGACAGTGTACATATATAGTCATGGACGAAGCTGATAGAATGATTGACATGGGTTTTGAACCCGACGTCAGAAAAATTCTAGAATATCTTCCTGTAACTAACGAAAAACCTGACACAGAAGAAGCTGAAGATCACGAAAAAATGTTACAGAATTTTAACAGCAAGAAAAAATATCGTCAGGTATAAATAGCAGTGTTTTGTATGCTAACCTTAGGTTTTCCATTTTAGTCAACTCTTGATAAATTATAATAATCATGTACGTATATTTGGTGAGAAAGTCAAATAGCAGCATTAGTGAATGGAGGGACATTCTGTTGTTTCCAATCTTTATAGGCATATAGGGGAACACATTTGGCAGTTTTCCCATCAAAATTTTGTAGGTGATTGACCGTTGAGATTTTTACTTGGAGTATTTGATGTTGATTGGGGTCGAAATGTTACTTCTGATACAGTAATATCATCAGTATTACCCAAATAAAATATAAAATTGCAAATTTTATGCCTTTTCAAATGCTTGAGTCACAATAAGATGAAGTGAGAAGTTAAACTACTACTACAAGATAGGGATTAATGTCAACTTCCACCAAGGGTGAGGATGGGGAAAGTGAGGAGGGAAAGGAAATCACCCCAGTAACTAATGGTGCAGATTAACAAAATAAAAAGCTTTGTTGAGAGTCAAGGTACCAATAACTGCTGATGCATGACACTGTCATAATTCTCCATCAATACAAATTCTATACTATTCAGTGTTGGGGAGGGTAGTCTTGCTAAAGGGGTGGACACATTAGCCGAATTAGTTGCAGCCAGAATCAGTTGCAGCCAAATTCATTCGGCCGAATGAGTGAACACACTAGATGAATACTTCGTTCAATTCACCAGTCAATTGCATCACCTTTCAAAGAATCATGTGACTTCTCGATATGAGTGGTGATTGGCTAATGGATTCTGTAATAAGAAAGGGGTGGACACATTAGCCGAATTAGTTGCAGCCAGAATCAGTTGCAGCCAAATTCATTCGGCCGAATGAGTGAACACACTAGATGAATACTTCGTTCAATTCACCAGTCAATTGCATCACCTTTCAAAGAATCATGTGACTTCTCGATATGAGTGGTGATTGGCTAATGGATTCTGTAATAAGAATCATGTGACTTCTCGATATGAGTGGTGACTGGCTAATCAATTATATTATGGGGCGAATGCTTTGAAGAAGCGGTCACACTAGGCAAATATATTAAACATGTTTTATTCGGGTGAATCATTCGGCTAGTGTGTCCATCGCTGTATGTAAAAACTGTTTCTCTTGATTATTATTACACTGTATAACAAACATTTTGTTTGTTTATTTTGCAGACGGTCATGTTTACAGCTACTATGCCTCCGAGTGTGGAAAGATTAGCTAGGACATTTTTACGGCGACCAGCAGTAGTTTATATTGGAAATGCTGGTAAACCTGTAGAAAGAGTTGAACAATTGGTTTACATGGTTACAGAGAAAGACAAACGGTTAGATTCTTTGCTTTCTTAACTTATTGTTTGATTCAAATTCATGCACATTTTTCTTCTTGGTATAAAGCAAGGATTCCTCTTGTCGCGTCTTCATTAGCCCATTGGAGCAGAACAGTAGGACAATAACCCCCCCATTTCATTTCGTTTCCTCTTGTCGTGCAGGACGGAACACCTGACAAGAACACCTGTTTAGTCATTCAGAGGTCCTGTGTACACATTGGTGTGCACATAAAAGATCCCTTGGCAGTTGTAATTCTATATAAGAGTATGCCATAGCGCTGCTGTCGGGGCAAAATTTCCCTCATAGCAAACTGTATGGTGTATGCCCGACTTGATTAGCCCAGTCGGAGCGGAACAGTAGCATGTTAAACCCTAATGAAAGAGGTGTAGGTAAAAAACGTCACTGTTTAGGTAAATTTTTCTCTTTTATGTTTCCGGGGGGGGGGGGGGGGGGTGAATGGCCGAATGGTTAGCACGTGCGCACTGTATCATAAGGTCTGTCATTGAGTCAACTGGCATGGTTTCGATTCCCTGGTTGTACGTGACAAGGAGTAGGGTTTCCTCCCACTGCTAAAGACCCCTACGCACAAGCGAATTATTGAAATAAAATTGAACCATGTTCTAGTCCCAAAATGACCTAGTTTGTGTCGAGTGGAGGTTAAACCCCATTTCTCTCTCTCTCTTTTATGTTTGCCACTGTATATAAAGTTATGTTTTTTTATATTTACAGTAAGAAGTTGATCAATATATTAAATGGAGGTATTGATCCACCTGTTATTATATTTGTTAACCAGAAGAAAGGAGCTGATATATTGGCTAAATCACTTGAAAAAATGGGTGTAAGTATATCTCTCAGTCTCATTCATCAGGTATATTAAATACTGCAGGATATATTTATCTGAAGCAAAGTGATCAGGCAGACAAATTTTACGGAAACACAAGACATAATCACGGGTACAGGCTTTTTCTAGAGTTTTCTCCCCTCGGTTCTTTTTCTTGTGAAGTAGTACATTTTATTGTAAGGATGAGCTTCGGTAAAATCTTTACAGAAATCTTTATTAATCTGATTGAATTGAAGATGGAGAAATTATAGATAATCAATTCAAATTCATTATAGCGTAGATGAAGCCACGAAAAATTATTTTAGAAAAATGCATGATCAGGATCCGAAACATTTTAAAGTAACGCTGTCATTTTTATTTTTCGCTAAAATATCACATTTCTAAGAGTTTAATCCACAGAATAGATAACCATCCAGCGGGAATTCAATTAATTTTAAAACGACTCTATCACTTCTGTTCGCCCACAAGTAAATGGCAGCTGGTTTATTACATAGCAAGCAGCATAGATCGATGAAATTTTCAATTCTTTATATCTTTACTGTAAATAGTGAACGAAATTGAACCATTTTTGGACCAATGTTCCTGTTGGAGATTCATCTTTCAAACTATCATACTTTAGTATGGATTCCTATTGCGCTTACTTCCATAATGCAATGAGACATTAATAACCATTTATAACAAACATTGATTGATCAACCTTGATGAATAATGCTGCCTAAGCAAAATTTCCTTCACATTAATCACTGTAACCTGGGTATCATTTAATCTTGTGTATCTAGCACTAATTTCTTTCACATTCGTTTAATATCAAATATTTGTTTAAAAATCATTTAAAATCACCCCAAATCATATTATTTGTCCAGTAAAAAGCTGACTGATTAATTTTGATAACGAGTGTCCAATTTACAAGTGTTTAATTGTTTATTGATGTATAATAAATGATTAATTTATAACAGTGATCAGGAAATTATGATGATATTTGGTGATTTTAAATGATTTTTACGAACTATTAAACAAAGATTTGATATTAAACGAATGTGAAAGAAATTAGTACTACATACACAAGATTAAATGATACCTGGGTTACAGTGTTACGTTGCATGGTGTATGCCCCGCTTCATTAACCTGGCTGACGCAGTAGGATGTTAAACCCCATTTGATTTGATGATTAATTAAACTATTATTATATTTTAGTTTAATGCTACAACACTTCATGGAGGTAAAGGACAGGAGCAGAGAGAGTTCGCTTTAGCCAGTTTAAAAGATGGTTCTAAAGATATACTTGTAGCTACTGATGTCGCTGGTCGTGGTATTGATATTAAAAATGTATCTCATGTTATAAACTATGACATGGCTAAAAATATAGAAGGTATTTATATTAGACTAGTATATATTTTACTATTTGTACCGCTTTAAGTGATAGGAAACATTAAAATTATATTAAACACACTAACATGGGTAAGTAAGGTAAGCATTAATATTAATGCTTACCTTGTTCTTTGGGGGGATGGGTGGGGGGGGGTATGGCCGAATGGTTAGCGTGAGCGCACTGTATCAAAAGGTCTATCATTGAGTCAATTGGAGTGGTTTCGATTTCCAGGTTGTACGTGACAAGAAGTAGGGTGGCCTATCCAACCTCGTGGGTTTTATCCGGGTCGTCCCACTGCTAAAGATGCCTACGCGCAAGCAAATTATTGAAATAAAATGGAACCATGTGTTGGTCCCAAAATGACCTAGTTTGTGTCGAGTGGACATTAAACCCTATTTCTCTCTCTCTCTTTATAATTTCGCTCAGAATAAAGTAATTTGAATGAAATTTTCATTATCTGTTTTTAAACTATTATAGCTCTTTATCTAAATCTTATATAATGCATCTTTAATCTTTTTGGTTTTACTGTCTGATTTTTTTCTCTTGCTATAGTCTGAATTTTCCCAACTGTTTTGCTCCAATTCCCTCCCCTGGCTGGCCTATGCCCATGATAAAATAATATATTTGAACTTTTTAAATGAATTTTTGAAGTTTACAGATGACATATTCAGTGTTATCTTGTTATACCCAGATTGCCAATTTAAAACTTTCATCTTAGATTAAAATTGCATGAATAAGGCCCCAGTTTTCCCTGTTCTGTATTTGGTGGTTCACTGTTGCGGAAGAAAAGGCGCTGGGTCAGCAACTAGGAGGTCCCAGTTTCAGTCCACGTTTGGCCGAGAAAGTCCATTGTGGGGTCCTCTCCTTTCCAGAGTGCAAGGGGACGGAAAGCCACTTCGGTATGCACACAAAAGAACTCTTGACAGTTCTATTTCAAAGAAGACAAGGCAAAACTGTCCACATGGCATACTGCATGGCATATTCCCATTAGCCTGGTATTACATTAAACCCCATTTCAATTAATTTTATTCGATATTTCAGGTTATACTCATCGTATTGGTCGAACTGGTCGTGCTGGTAAAAATGGTGTCTCTATCACTTTCCTTACAAAGGAAGATAGTGCTGTATTTTATGATCTGAAAGAAACCATTCTACTGAGTCCCGTATCAACATGTCCGCCAGAACTGGCTAATCATCCAGAAGCACAACATAAACCTGGAACTGTCATGCAGAAAAAACGAAAAGATGAAACATTGTTTATAAATTAAAAATACCATTTAATGTTTCGATTTTGTATTTTTTGGTCTTAAAAATATGAGGGGAAAATTTTTAATCTAAATGGAACCAAGTTATTTTTCTTTGATTTTACGTGCAAAAGTTACTCACACCTTGCTGTTGTGTTACCCTTTGGACACATTTGTTTCTTTTCTCTAAGATATTTTGTGGCTGAGGGGAGATTCATCAAGAATCAACTTCTTTTCAAGATATGTCTTTCAGTTGTATTACAAGATATTTTTGGATTGAGGGGAAGATACATCAAGAAAAAATTTGTTTTAAGGATACATCTTGCTGTTATATTACAAGATGAATTTCTTTAGAATATCTAAAAATAGGGTTACTTTACCCAATCCTCAGGATTCCTGGTTCCTACATTTATATGTTAATAGTATTGCCTGTAGGGTTGACGTTGAAGGTATTTTCTAATCTTTCCGATATACGATGAAAAACATCCATGTACATATAAGCTTACTTCTAAAAGAAACCTGGAGTTCAATGGATAGTAATAGGAAGAAATACTTCTGTCCTGTAAAAATTCTTCTCTCTTGCATTGTACATATGATCTTAATGTAGACAAATAATCATGTTTGTCCCTCAAATTGACCAAAGTACTGTGCTGTGACTTGCCTTCCGTTTTAGAGAGGCATTGACACATAGCATAGTCAATAATCTGAGAGTCTGGTCGATTGATATTAAATTCCTAGATAAATCTGTTAAGTATATTTGTTTAGTTGATGGTAGTACAGATTGGACATAGATTACTTTTCAGAGGTGGCTGTGACAATATGCATTGCATTACATGCATAGGGATAATCTGACAGAAACTTATTCAATCTTCACCCAGAAATCCATCTACTTCATACTTCAAGAATAGATCTCTGTCCTACATGGTCGCCATATCCAAAAATTATTATATACTGTTTTGCAATGTGATTCTACTCATTTTCATGTCATACGAAGACTAAATAAAACTTTTTAAATTTTATTCAATGAAAGCAGAATAAATACTTAACAAAATTCTTGATGTATACTTATAGTGTTTTCGACTAAAATCGTTAAGGACTTAAAATGTTGGTCAACTAGCTTAGTATCTGCTCGCAGGCAGAGCTACCTGTCGACAGACAGTCTAAGTTTATTATGACACATGCTGTGTTTGGCCTGGAAATAATTTTAGTTGTACCTCAAAGAACTTTTTGTTTCTATATAAATAAAATCGAATGTCTGTGTGCGTATTATGTGTGTATGTATCATGCTACGTTGCCGCACTCCACCCCCACATATATGGTATCAGATTAAACAGCATGGCCCAGTGAATTTTTTAGACCGTGGAATTTGTGCCCTGGGTGAATCATGTTATTTCACCACTTTCCACCCCCACATACATGTATGTATCAAAATAACCAGCATGACCCCCGAGGATGTTTAGGTCATCGAATATGGGCCCTGGGCGAAGATAGGTATCCTGCCAGTTATAAATAAAAGCACTGCAAATATACAAATATGTACAGGACAAAATGGCAGGCAACAGGGAGACTGTAGCTGACAAAGTATGAATTTGTGCCTGACATGGTCAGTGATGTGTTTTATTCTCGGCTTCGATGTTAAAGATATTATTGTATACGATGTAGAACTTGACGTATCCATTTCTTCCTGAAATAAATCAGATATTTGAGGGGAAGGTGCACAGGCACATGTCATTTTTATCGCATGCCCTTAGTGTACGGATACAAGTATATTAATATTATAATGACAATTGTATAGAAATTATACAATTTGAAGGAAATCCAGTGGAAATATTTTGCAGTGGCTTCCTTGTACACCTTTCATATGACACAAACTATAATGAACAGAAACTGTGAAATTAAATCTGGCATCATTCTGATCAGTAATAATTCTGTACTATATTTTAAGGTATATTGTCGTTTGGAAAATTACGCCGTAATTACTAAATCTAAAGATAGATTATGTAAGATTACATAAAGAGCTGGTCGTTCTTGCTATAATAGTTCAAAAGTAGATAATGCAAAATGAATATATTGAAAATTTCATTCAAATTATTTTATTCTGAGCAAATATAGCCTTTGAAGGTCTGTCAACAGACAAAATGTGTGTACTGATAGTAACCGCCACCGTACTGGTTGTTTGAAGCTTAACCTTGCTTTACCATCTTTAGATTAAATCATGAAATGGCTGAACCGATCTAATCTACTTAAAATCGGACCTATCTGATGGCATCGAGACTTGATTATGGTCTTGTCATGTTGATAAATGTCTAATTAATAGTTTATATAACATTTCAGGCCTAAAGAAAGATCTGCAATAGGCAGATTAAGCTTTTCCATCATAATACCTGTTTAATCATGTATTTTGTATGGAGTGTGTGCTTCTTAAACTATTTATCTGAGATCATAAACATACACATCCTAAAACACTGACAGTAAATACAAACAGTTTTATTATATTCTTGAATTCGACTGAAGAGATGCAAAATACACATTATAACAATTAAAGGTTTAGTTCTTGTCCCACAAACATCAAGACTATATCTGTCCGAAACAGTTTCATTGCTTGATAACGGCGAGAGTGTCCTCATTGAAACTTTCCATTTAATAAACCTAGTGAATGTTATCCATAAAGCTGTCTGTTATTAATATCGTTTTCACCGAATGCCTTTTAAAGAAGTATGTTGATAATTAATATACCTCTACAGTTAGACAGGTTGTTCACAAAATACTAATAACAATATGGTTTATAGAATAATTTATTGGGGTTTTTTTTAAAGAAGAAACAATGGGTAAAAATCATTTTATTTAGGTAAATTTTGCCACCTTTCCACAATTAATAATTGATTAATCTAATGATTATCAACTTACATGAATGTATAATTCATTATTTTATATATATATATAACATGTATATGTAAATTTGCGCTAGGAATAAATATTGAAAACTCTTTGTTTTGTGTTTTAATAGGCTTATATTTAATGTGCACATTTATATCTATTGCCGTCACCAATGTCTGACCACAAATTCGTGTGGACACACTTTCTCAAATAGTTTTCTTCGGTAAAAACTAAAATAAATACTGTTTAAATATTTGGTCACTTGGATCATGATTATGAAGACGTTTAAATAACTTTAGATACCTAATTCAGCCAACATCCAGAATAAAAGATAGATAATTAATAAGGCACCTAAAACCAACCACACAGCACTAATTGATCCTCTAGGAGAAACTTGGTGTAATTTAATAGTATTATCAGCAGACACACTCAATAACGTGAAATCTTTTCCTCCAGTTAAAGCTTGACAATTCTCTGAATTGGGCATAAACTCTAAACCAGTGACGAAGATGCTGTGTGCTGCTTTTAAACAGTACAATTTCTGCAAACTAAAAGATATATAAACTGCAACACTACCGGATATGGTACCAAGCCCAATAAATACACCATCATCACTGACGGCTAATGAAGATAATATTTCTGTTCCAGCAGCACTTTGTTTCCTTACGGTATATTTATCGTTATAAGAAGTTAAATAACAAGGCAATGGTTTAGAAGACTGTCTCGCTGGAATTGCGATTGTATATATATTATACTTGTCATTTTTGCCGCTTGACAGACCATACCTGCAAGATCTAAATCTATAGTTTTCTACTTTTGGTAAAATTAAATCGGTTATTTTTTTGCCACTTTCTACACTCCATATACAGCCAGTATGATCTCTAGAAACTGTTACTATATATTTACCACACGGAGAGATGTCCAGATCATCTATGTCATTTTTATGAGCTTTAATTTCAATGCTTTTCGTACAGTCTGGATACTTCCAAACTCGAAGGTGACCATCTGCACCACCTGTAGCCAATATTTTCTTCTTGTCATTGTAGCGAACCACTTTTTGAAAGCCTGCATCGTCGCCGAAGTCGGTTGTAAATTTTTTGATTTCTGTAACATCAAATTTGATTTGTTTAGTAGAGCTTTCGTCGCTTTTCTTTTCTTTTTCCTCGACGTCCTTTTTTCGTTTTTGCGCTGAATTTTCTTCTGATGAGCTTTTGTCCAATACAGTAACTTTATACTTCAAAGAGTAGATGTGACACTCATCATCCTGGCCTGTTGCCAAGTGATGATTTCGACCATCGTACAGAAAAGGTGCACAGTTCATAACAGCTTGTAGCCCTGTATCATGACGACATATGCTTGCAGCAATAACTTTATCATCTACTAATTTCAACTCGTAAACCTCTATAGCATTTGGAACTCCTGTTTTTGCCTGGCCACCGCCCCCAGCTATTAAAAAGTGACTGTCGCCTAATGATCGAACACAGTACACAGGGAAATCTGTATTTGCCAACAGGCAGCCTTTTGCGGCAGCCATCTTTAGGCAAAATAATCGGGCCTATTCTGTTGGTCACTCGTTGCACCCGAGACTATTGACATTGTTCGTGCGCGCGCCTACGTATTATTAGAGCTATATTATATTATAATCGTCGATTGGCGAAGAATAACAGCTAGGCGATTAGTAATAACAGACGGTTCCTAACTAATCCCCAGATTGATTATTGTATATCTGGCGAGTCGCTACAAATTACAAATAAGTTAGAAACCCTATCTCGATCTGACAGACAGTGGCGATGCAGTTGATATATAACGAGAGTCTGGATAATCTGGCCTATCAACTGGATACGTGTATCATACGGAGTCGGACTACTAATGATGTTACATCATCTGCTTTTTACCACCACCTAATCATCGACGATACCGAGCAGTTACCGAAGGCTGCCGTTACTAAATGTTTCCCATAACTTAAAAAAAGAAGGGGGCCATAATATACTATAATAAACAGGCATGGGCGTGAAAGAAATCGTTGTAGAAATAGGGGGGATAGAAATAAAACAAATTTGACAGGCCAGGACAGGGGTGTATTTATTTATCGAAGATGTCCTGTGGCTGTAGCTATATGAATGATAACACTACACAGATTTATCTCTGCATTCTTTAAGCGACGATCTCATAGATAAACTATTCCACTACTATGATGTCTATGACCACCAACGACAACAGGGAAGAGCCGACAGACAGGGTCCGTCCTTTTAATATTTATCACCAAACCTAAAAAAGTCGAGTCGACTACCGAAGACAAAATTTGACTTAGAGTTAGACTAGATGTAGACCCACCACGATTCAGCGCGAAAGGTTACTAAATGATCACGAACAGTTGACAGATATGCCCCGAGTACCCGGGAGTAATGGTTTACAAAACTGAAATATGTAAGAGCCAGAGAAAATCGGCAGACACAGCGACACAAGTTTGACAGGCCTGAGTTATCTATGGTTAGGCCTAGTGGGTATAACAGGATTAAGACTACATGTTGAGAAGATAGCACAACTACTAAAGTCAAATCATACATTCTAAACATATCTAACCCCTGTTGTAGACAATAGCAAACTTATAAGTCCATAACAAAAGTAATTCACGTTTTTTACAGAATTCATATTGTAAATTTCGATGAAAGCGTCAAATTGGTAGCCATGTCAGTTCTTGACGCCGCCTAGCGGACGTTCTTATTGGACACGACCTGTTGACGTCTCGACGTTATGTGGCTAGTGCATATTTATAACTCTATCCTATGGGCTAGTCTCATCATAGATAGTTCTATGGTGTCGTCAGTTCTATGGTGTTATAAAATAGCCTAAAATATACACTGTCAGTTCTAAATATTAAGGCCACTCGCAGATTTCGTGACGGTCACGAGATGTAAACAGGGTTAGGGCACGTGATTGTTGCCGAGGATTGTTGGTCAGTGCAAGATTTAGGACTCGGTTTAGGCTAGGGTTAGCGTGATCTTGACGAAATCTGCCGGTGACCTTAAATATTTAGATCTAACTCGAAATATGTCTAATATCTAAATAACAAAAAGATAAACCAGTTTAAGTTTAAAAGGGTTTCCTGCCATTCCGGCCCGTTTAATTAACTTCAACAATAGGAGAGAGTGGGGACCAATGGGCATATGGGACCGATGGACCACCCCTTGTATCAGACATGTGGATGGCAAAAACGAATTCTATAGGCTTTCATTATGTAACCTTGACCTAGCCTCGAATACATTGCTGATTTGCCTAGAGTGCTATCAGCATATTGCCTTATAGCCTCACATTTAACCATAGTATAGGTATTCTTTTTATATTTTGCAATATTTTTCATGTCCCAAAGTAATTAAGTGTCACCAAGGTGTGCTCTACACCAGCACACATGCTTAGTAGTTTTCCAGGCTTTGCACTTAAAAATCAAAAGCCACAGTGACTGACTACTACTGTTAATAAAGCTGAATATATATTTAAATGCTGTGGGGACCGATGGACCACCTGCAGGTCGGTTCCTATCAGGGCTGGGGTAATGGTAATGGGTAATGGCAAAAGACATAGAAATAAATATGTTTTGACTTTCTTAGAAAATATCAAATTGTAACTTGAATATAAAACATATATATATATTGTTTTTGAGTCATACTGAATAATTCACCAGCAATACAATTATTATAGAAAAACTATTTGGATTGATAAAGAATTTTATAAAATTACTTTTTAAAAAATAATGTTAATTAACTATACTTTCAATCCGTACAGTGAAAACATCAGTTGTTGTCACTACTGCCCGTCACTTGAATGTTATAATATATAGAAATAACAATTCATACACAAATATCTATTATTGTGAATCAAGAATTATTATCGAGTTTGATTTTATAGGCGCTTCATTGCAGAAAAATAAGGTTGTCTTTTTAATTTCTATGAAAAATGTTTGTTTTATTTATATACTCATAAAGTAATGGGTAATGGTAATTAATTACTTTCAATGTAATGGGTAATGGTAATTAATTACATTGTTAAAAATGAGAAAGTAATTGTAATGATTACATTTAAAACGTAATGGTAATGTAATTAATTACATTGGTAATGTAATGGCCCCAGCCCTGGGTCCTATGCGCATGGCCCATGGGTCCTCAGAGGCATAGTCCCATAGAGGTGTATATATACACCTCCATGCATGGTCCATGGGTATCTAGAGTTTTATAATGTCAAGAAATAGAAAGAGAACAACCGACAGGGGAATGTATGATCCCGAAACAATGCGATGGGCTGTGTAGTTTTCACGAACAAATTTCTACATAGTATCCACAAGGTTGGACAGGCTACCCTACTTCTCTCGTATAGAAACACGCTTCTTGACTCAATGACAGATCTTATGGATCTAACGCGCATGTTTTAACCATTTGCACACCTCTCCCTCCTTAGCTCCTCCACCCCTGATTACGTTGACGAGTGGTACAATTTTTGAAGTAAAAATTTTGATAAGAGCCAAAAAGCACACCATCTTTCATCGAGACAATACTTGACCATAGTGACTCTGTAACACGCTCAAATATAGTAGCTATGCATTCCGAATCAATATAAATAAATACCACAAAAACTACAAGGAATTATTCGCTTTGATGTTTCCATTGATGACTGATATTGAATAGGTCGGTTATTATGATCTTACTTGAACAAAAATGCGCCAAATTATATTTTTTATTTATTCTTTAATTAAATTAAGTGAATGCTCTTAAATGTTTTGTATATCTTATTGTAACCATTGAATGGTCCATTGGTTCCCATGAGGTGGTCTAGTAGGCCCGATGGACCATCATGAGTGATGTATAATTCCACTTTTCTGTAAGGTATAGCATTGAAACTCTGTATGTTTTTAGGTTAGTATCTGATGAATGAAGTAGCCAATATTAGTTATCCTTGTTGATTTGTATGTGACTATGCAAGCGAAATCCTACCCTGCTGCCCTGCAGGGTTTGTTCAACCATGGACCCATAAGGTCTATTGGTTCAACTTTGTCGCTCTTAGACGTCTTAAGTGCTATTTTTGGTTTCCTGACTTGGTTAGTCAGCTTTTAGAATTTGTTTCAGTTATGGACTCTAAATTTTAATTACGGTCACTAATTAGTGACCTTTGCTTTGAACCGGTCTTATAGTCTGGTCGCCAAACCAATATTTCGAGTGAACCTGGAAATTGTATACAACGTTTTTCTATGATTGATTTTAGTAGCCTAGGGTGTCCTCTTTCAGAACCGGTCCCCCTTGAGCATTTTGAGAAATTCAAGATGGCGTCAAAGACGGGTGCCACCTCCATGGTGCCATTTCAGTTATTCCCCTAAAACTTCCATAGTATTTAGTCTAGAATGATAATTTTGGTGTCTAACCGCATGTTTTTGGGATCAAGGAATACACTGAAATCGTTCATTATGTTGTGGGATGATTAGATGATAGTAAAATCAAACATGCCAGACAATAATGGTCTTTTAACTCGTTAGCGGTGGTTGGGGGCGATTATTTCAAAGAGTACATATACGATGAAAAACCTAAATTGCATCTGATTAAAATTAATTCAGCTATCTGAAAAACGACTTTGCCAATAATAGAAAGCACTCTTAATCTCTCCCCCCCCCCCAGACGCCAGTGACGTCACAGTGACTAAATGTATATTAGGAATGTTTATTCCTTAATTATCTATATACAGCCGGTGTGTGTATTCATTAACGTCTGACTGATTCCTTAATATCCTGATTAAATAAGACAATGGACTACGTAATAATTTGTGTTGTAATTTATTTTAATTTAAGATACAATTTAGAATTTGTTTTATCATGTCCCACCCTCTCCTCTCTCGACAGCGAAACGTTTGCAAGAAAATTGTGGATGGACATTCAATTTTAACTCACATCAAATTTGGAAGGGTTAGGGGGAGTGCTCCCAGGTATATGCACAGGTTACAAAACTTAAGACTTGCCTTTCCAAAATGATCTAGGGGTAAAATATGTGTTGTAGACCTCAAACCTTTTGGACTCAATATTTTGATTAAATCTCACTGGGCTCCCGGGTTATAAGAACTAGTCAAGTTTCTAATACGTCTGAGCATGGTTGGTAACACTAAATATCAAATATATAAAATACATTAAAAGCTATAACCCAATGCAATTGAACAACTACAACACATTAACATTGAATATATCAGACATAGTTAATAAATTAAAGTTATCTTGAAAATAAACAAGTTCATTGGGATTTTCCGTGTGGTTTCTACTTGTCAGTGGTGCAGGACGGAGGGCCTGACAAGGACATCTGTCTAGCCGTTCATGTGGGACGACAAACCGAGGCCCGTGTACTAATTGGCGCGAACGTAAAAGATCCCTAGGCAGTTGGAATTCGATATAAAAGTAGGCCGTAGCGCCGCTGTCCGGGCAAAATGTTCCTCATAGCATACTGTATGACGTATTATCAAAGTCGGAGCAGAATAGTAGGACATTAAACCCCATTTCATATCATTTCATTTTGAAAATAAACAACAATCATTATTAATTAAA